AAAAAACAAAAATGCACTGGATTAGGTTTCCTGTATAGAAAGCCTGGGTACTTGTTAAACTTATCAACAGACTTAAAGCTTTGCTTGTCCACTGAAACCTGTCAGTGGCTTTGAAATTCTTCTACAGCACTTAAATAATTAATTTATTCTGCTCACACTCCAGATATATGTTATATTAAGCAAATCTTGTAGCAACACCAGGACAGAACAGCTTACGATGCCCAACAGGCAGAACAGCACCTTTTTAATTATTTTTTCTTCTTCTTTTTTGCCTCTTATTTAATGGGACAATAAAACCAGGACACTTAGAAGCAGACAGTAATATCAAACCTGAGCGTCCCGAAAAATGGAGGGATCTCTGGAGATGGCCTCTGCTTACATTTCCAAACTGTACAGCAAGATTTCACGGTCATGAAACTGTCTGGTCACGCCTCTCCCTCCCCCATCAAGGTTGGTAAATCTCATTATCTACCTTCAAGCTAACATGGTCAGAAGGACTAATTCCCTACGAACCAATAGGGACACATGTCACTGGGACTTGGGGAGTAAGAGAAGGCAGGGCAAGTCTCGTAGTCAAATTAAGGCCCTTTTATGTGCAAAAAAAAACAGTTCACAAAAGTGTTTGTACACAGTAAAAGCTGAGTGAGATCCACTTGATGGGGCCAAAAAGACTGCCTTTCTTTTTTATACACTCAGTTGGGGTTATAATAGCTCAGTTCAGGAAGTATGTCTTCCACTGCCCCCAGAGAATCCAGTTAAATAATTAATTATGCAGAGCAACAAAGACCCTTGTTTCCAATACAATTCAACACCAGTACACCAGGGCAAGCTGATACTGTTTTTACCCTGAGCGAGGTACAAGGAAGACGGGTTTCCATGACGCTGAGGAAATTTCTGAATGACACATACATGCACGTTTGTTCTGCAACATAAAAGACTGGAGTGTAAAACAATCACCTAAAAGGTGCAAGCTTTTTATCCGAAGCACCACCTTCCTCGGCTTTGGGCTCTACTAACCCATGACACGCAAGTTACTTTCAAACAGTAACAGAGGAAATGGCATGTGTGTGCTATATGCATTAAACATCCCCTCTGCTGCGATGCAGAATGTGGATTTAACTAACACCGGAGTGCCATGGCTCTTACTGCGTTTCTTAAATTGGAAATAAAGCTGCAGGTCTTAACCCAGCAAACATAAACGGCCATGAAGATCAGCACTGCCTGTTGAATTGAACAACGCAAATGTTAAAAGCCCGGGGACATCAGGGGAGTGTAGTTATTTTATTTGTTGAGACTCTAGACTGAAAGAAAGAGCTTCTCCAGCCTTATCTTATTAACCTAATGAGCTTTTTTATTACACCTTCTCCTCTTCATGGCCCTGCTGTGGAGGAGGGCCTGATAAGACAGAACTGGATACAGACTGGGGGTGGGCATTTTCTTGCAAGTGAATGGCAGAAATAAGACAGGTTATTCTAATTTAACTATTCAGTGAACAGATGGTTTTATTTGTTTCTCTTTACTAAACGAACATCCTACATCTGGAACAGCTCCTATCAATTTACCTGTACAAATAATTCTCCAGCTCTATAAAAGTTTCCTTTGTTGTTTGTGGCAGCATAGCACACTAGCTGTTACAAAAAGAGCACCTTTCAGTCTTTGACTGCAAGCCACTGTCATTCACATGACCCCTATTTAAATCAATATCCCCAAAGAGCAGAGCGATATTCCATTTTAGTGAGAAAGCCTCTGACCTGGTTGAAATAGAAATCCATTGTTAAACCAAATACTGACAGATCTGTCTCTGTCACTCAAAACTTCAAAGAAACTCAGAAGGACCCACCGCACTCACACGAGTGAGGTTTGTGAGGTCTTAAATGTAACAATCTCACGGCAAAATCATACAGACTACATTATGTGCTCTATATATTTATGTCAGTCCGCTCAGTTAAGCATCACTAAAATCAGCAAAACTGTATATTGTGTTAATTGCATTCTACTAAAACCAGATAATAATTTCCAAAATTAATATGCTAAAATAAAACAGTTCATAGTATTCTGTGTTTTGTAAACACTTGGATATAACGAAAAGAAAAAGAAAATTCAGGAAAGCCCTGAGAGCTAATTTCTTTTGGGCTTTGTGGCTATAAGGAAGTAATCCGTGATATAATATACGATCAGTGTCTTAATTAACTGTATCCCCTTCGTGAAGAGCGTAGCTGCAAGTTGAAAGTTCCTCCTAGCTTTATCCATATGATTTGCAAAAGAAACTAACATCCCGAAACTATACACAGAAAAGCACTGAAAATAAAAAGCAGATCGAAGCACTTTTTTGCAAGTGCACCTGCTGGGAGCAGCAAACAAAAGGGTCATCGGACTTACTTTTTTCCCCGATTCTCTGTTCAGCGGCTCATTTTAAAAACTGGCTCTTTTTTCCACGGGAGGACATCTTCTTCTTCCTGATCTTCTTTCCGTGATTCCCAGATCTAAATCAAGCAGACCCCGGCCACTCGGGGAAAAGTAATTGTCACCCTTAGGAGACCTTGTCATCTACCGCCACTACACGACTTTCTCATTCAAACACTCGCTGTGGCCGTGAATGAAACTGGCCCAAAACCAGGAATGGAGTTCCTGGAATGGCGCTGAATGTACTCAGTCTTCCCTAGAATTCAGATTATATTATAAATCCCGGTTCTAAAATTTCAGTGAGGTAACTGAAAGACCAGGAGCCAAAAGCAAATTCTTATTTGTTGATTGATCGATTGTTAAGAATACTGCATTTGCTTCTGATTTTTCTTCCTGATACTTCCTAAGTTCTCCACCTTTCATGATTCATCCACATAACAATAATCAAACTGACATTTTGTGAAATATCCGCATCTGTGAACCCATTTTTCATCACAGATGGGGAAATAAAGTCATGGTGCATACACTGAAGGGAGAGAAACATGCCCAGGTTTACTTATAAAAAGATGTTTTTAAATGGAACTGGGTTTTGTTTTTTTTACCCCCATACGGTTCAATAACCTGACATGTATTTTGGTTTTATGAGGCAGAGCAACTCAGCTGAACTACCTGGTAAACTGCAAATAAAAATGAATAAGCAAAGGTTTATTCCATGCTGAAACGAGAAGAAAAGTAACACAACATTTCGGCTGTGGAGCCTTTTTTGGGTACGAAGAAGGCTCCACAGCTGAAACGTTGTGATTGTTTTCTTCTCTTTTCAGCATGGAATAAACCTTTACTTGTTCCTGTGCTGCCTACACATGTTGACGCAGCTCCCTTCTTGAACTGCAAATAATAATGTTTTGCTAGAAATTAAATAAAGTGGCCATTCATACGTCAAGCTTAGTGAGTAAAGAAAGTTGAAATGTTGCTATAATGAACTTTATAATGCCTGACTACACAATTAATTGTAAATACCCATGAATCATTTTAAACTATTTCATCTAAAGCCCCTGTGGCCAGTCAAGAGCTCCATCTCAAAACTCCTCGATCCTGACATCCCCGTCCAAGAATCTCCACAGTTTTCCTCCCACCTCCCCCCTTCCAACTGCTGCAGTGCTAGCCAGTTCAAAGTCTGTTAGGCCCACTAATCAGCTTTTAATTCACCTTTCAATTCAAACTCCCATCCAATAGGAAGGCACAGACGCAACCTCGGCCACTTCATTTGCACAACAAAGCCGTCTCTTTCAGTCTTGCCTTGTGCCTCAGAGCGGCGGTGGACTGGGGGAGCCCAGCCCCTGGGCGTCCAGCTTCGCGCGCTGCTCAATAGCTCCACGGGCAGCTCCCCCCTCGGACTCCTGCTCCAGCCCAGCAGGTCGGATTGTGAGAGAAAAGCACGGAGGAAGAGCGCTGCATCTCACAGGTTTCCAAGTCTTTATGTGCTGTGTTTTAATTTCTCTCCAACGCAATGAGTCCTGCATGGAAAGCTGGAACGTGATTTCAGGGTAGATTAAATCGGATTGGCACAGGCCATGTCCACAGATAAGGACCTGTCTTGTTAGAAAAGAACCTGTCTGGTTGAGCAGTAGGTGCTACCCGTCATGGGATTCAGGTGCAGGGCTGATTTCTCTGGCTTAGCAAAGACACAACAATACATGCAACTTCAAACCCAGAACTGACAGAATTCAATCTAAAAATAAAATTTGCTAGTCAACAAAATAAAATGCCCAGTATATTTGAACAATGACTATTCAATTCAGGTCGCTCTGTTTTGGAGTGAATCAATAAGGCCTGAGTATTGTTTATTTTTATCTTTTAAGGAATGCACTGCTGGATTGGTCACAATGGACTCTGAGAAAGCAGCTGTTGAACTGCAAGGCAATTCTGTTGATGCATATTCCTGGGGTAACTCATTACAGCCCACAAAACACAAAGCACAGCTTGACTTCAAATTGTCCATCCCCAGGGGAAGACATCTTTCTAGAAATTATAATACAATCAATACAATCAGTGTGACATTTAAGGCAGTGTGACAAAACAATATATAGTATGACTGCAAATACAGTCCATGTATAATGTCTATAAACAAATAGACTGTATATTATGTGCATATATGTCAACTATATGGTGCAAAGCTTAAATAAATACATCAAAATCATGCTTCATGCACATCTTCATGAACAATTTTATAAAACAGTAAATGTCTGCCCTACTAGTGTATGAAGTATAGTGTTTATGTAAACAGTTCACAGCTGGACATTATTTCTTTCTGAAATGCAAATATTTTGTATGTAGTTCATATGATTATGAGACATTCTACTTTCCATGAAGTTGTGTTCTAAACTGATTAGAATTTTGGCTATGTATTTGGGTATAACCAGCTTTTTTTATCAATGCATTGTTGTTTTGAGTCCTCAAAAAAGGAATCCTGGGTTTCACCTTTTGATGTGCCTCAGCCTTTGGATTTGGTGCTGCCATGGAAACTATGGTTTTTGTCACTGAGCTCAGTGGGGGCACTTATAGTTTCACAGCACATCATCGCAACAAAGCACCACCCAGTCCTCAACACTCACATAAGAAAAGGAGAAAAGATTAGGGGTCCAGGAGCGCTGCCACAAACTGAATGGGCCACAGGAATTAATAAGACTTATGGATAAAAATACATTATTTTCCATAGCGGGAACCACAGTAGGAAGATGTTAAAACATTTTTAGCACTTCACAAAAAACAGTCAGTCTCAACACCTTCATTTAAAACACAAAAAAGTGCCGGCATTAATGGAGAAAAATTGGGTTTTTAAATCTATCCACCTAGAACTATTTTTACGGGAGCAGTGGAACTGACACATGTGTAGTGTGGCCATGACCATCGGGAAAAAAAACAGCAACAGAAAACTCAGGAAAAGAAACTAAGGAACGCATCACACACAAGTCCAGCATACTTAAATATGGTGAAGAAATAGATATTTGAAACATTTTCCTTCTTGTAGAAATAAATCCCTTGGTAGGCAAGAGTACAATCAAGTGTGTAAGAGATAAAGGTCAGCAATCTGGATTTCTGTTGGGACTGCACATGGATGAAAACCCACAGCAATAATCCTGGCTTACATTCATCACTGCTGAAACTATTCAAGGCCAAAAATGTGTGTCCTCAGGAAACAAGAGACCATTAAACAAGCTGCGCAGTCTCACAGGATATACACAGATTCTTTATTACACCAATTAAAGCCCGATTACCAATCCTCACAGAGACCCATAAGCTCTGCTTCTCCCATCCATCCATAATCCATTAGCAACGAAAAGTGCAAAGACAACAGAAAAGGAACAGGCCGACGCGTACATTGCCACGTCCTCAGCTTTAGAGCAAAACAAATCGTGACGCCATTATGTCCGTTTTAAAAGCCTCTTGAGAAGTCCCGTGACTTTGAAGCGATCTAAGCTGTCCGACATCTGCTCCCAGAGCGTCGGGCGCTTCCAGAGGCCCCTCCCCGCCTTCTCCGCCTTGCCCTCGGCCCGGAGCAGCCGGCGGTGGACCCGCCAGAAGAGCCGGGAACCGTGCGGGAGGCCGGCCGCGGGCACCGTTCTTCCCAGGCCCTGCCTCAGCAGCTCCTCGTTGAGGCACACATCGCGGAACAGGCCGCCCTGCGTGCGAGGGGAGGCAAAACGGAAGATAAAATATCCAGGTCACAACCGCAACGTCTGACATCGACTGACTGGAAGCAGAACGTCTTATGTTGTCGGCTATTCGATTGATAGATTAGATAGATAGATACTTTATTGATCCCGAGGGAAATTGCAGTGCAACAGCAGCTTAGCACAGTCAACACAGCACAGTGTAACGAAATGATACAATAATACAACAATACTATACAGTCAGTACAGTCAGTGAGAAGTGCACTAAGAAGAGTTGCTCACAGTCCAGAATACACAAAGAACAAACCAGAACAGTACACAAAAAGTTGTATTGCACAATATAAATGTAAATATAAATATACTGCCCTGGCATATATTGCACAAAAAACAGTTGTAGACGGGAAAAGCCAGATGTAAGCAGAGAGTTTACTGTTCAGTCCAGAAACAGGTCAATGTCAATGTTGCCCCTGCCCAAACACACAGTGGATGAGTTTAACAGTCTTATGGCAGAAGGCAAGAATGACCTCCTGTAGCGCTCCCTGTCGCACCGTGGCCTATTGCTGAACGTGCTATTCATTCTCACAAGCCTGTCATAGAGGGGATGGGAGATGTTGTCCATGATGGCCTCTAGTTTGGACACCATTCTCCTCTCAGACACTACCTCCAGTATTCTGTTCAGTCTGTTTAAATAAGCAACAACCAAAGCCACCATGCTGATAAACTGCACGTCCAGCATGATTATTACATGAACACATCTCCTGGAAATAGCATGATGGTTCAGAAAGTATATTAAATAGAACCTTTAACCTTTTAGAAAGGAATTTCCAAACTGACACACTCCAAACAAAGTATTCTGGATCAATACTTCAGACAAAGGTAAAAAAGGAGAATTTAATTGCATTAATACCAACAACAGAGTTGACCCTGTATACAACAGACACAATCTTAAAACATGCAGGTAAGAATAAGACTCAATATTCGTTCTGTTGATTATGGATGTCACATCTCCGTGTGATACACTTCATTACAGGTTTGTGCTTTTTACAGTTTTTGGGCTTTGTCCTCTTAAAATGAAGGCACTGGATTCTAATCTCTGGAGAGGGCACTGGGGCTGTACCCCATAGCAAGGTACAGAACATCACTGATTGTACTGGAGGGGACCTGATTCAAACTCCTCCAAGGTGCAGGCAAAGTTAAACCTCATGGGCCTCTGTAGAACAAACAGTGAAACCCAAACAAGACGACACAAGCAGAAACCACATGAAAGTGCATTTTAAACTGAGAACTGAAATGGAACAAACTACCAAGCCATAGTGCTGCCAAAGATCCTTTCAATAAACAGCTGGATGATCCATAACCAAACAAGCTCTTATTTGAAGCCTTTTTTGTGTTCAATACATTTCCTATACAAGTTTTGTTGCTGACCATTCAAATATACAATGGTAAGTGGAGGTAGACTTAAACCACAGAGAGGATTGTCTACTGCACACTCACCAGGGTGAAGAATATATTTGTAGGGTCTAGTAATTTTTTTGAGCTCTCTACAGTCAGTTGTGTTCATCGTTGCTCACTCACCCTGTTCACAAAGACGAGACAGTCGAGTGCATTGCTTTCCCTTCTGATAAGTTTAAACCAGACAACCTCTGCGGGTTTTAGCTGTTGTTTTAACCACATCTGTCCATCCTCTGTGAGTTCAACTCCTGCCAGCCGAACCACCAGGAGTGCTTTAGATTGTCCTGCAGGAAATAAAAAGCCCTTACATTTAGTTGATTTAAAAAAAAGTTTAATTTTCCAACATCAGTCACAAACTGATCTGCTGTAGATCACTGCCAATTCTACAGAAATATAATAATTCTTAAGTGAGAACTTAAAACTGTTAAGTAATGATCTATACAGAACACTTTTTCTATTACATTTTAAAAACAAAATAAGCTATATAATAATAAGTACGACCACAAATAGTTTTAAAAAGAGGATATTATATCCTAATAATTAATAAGCCCATTTTAGATAATTTATGCAGTTCTGAGAATTCAAAGAGTTGAAGCATGTTACATATAACCCCCATCATATTTATTTGTGGGTAAATACATTTTTACTTTCTAGAAGCACTATGAAGCCAAACAGGCCTCCATTCATTGTCAGACCTTAATAAACAATGGTCTAAAAAACACAAAACACTTGCTAATACAAGTCTGACTGTGATTTAATTTGAAGTGATATTTCACAATACTCTTTGGCAGCCCAGCTCAAGGACAAAAAGTTAATCCCATTACTAAACTGAAAACGTCCTGAGAGTCAAACCTGAATGTAGATTGAACCAAGTGAGCAACTTTTAAGAAATTAGGATTGCAAACGTTTGCAGTCCTATGGGTGCACTGTAACCTAATAACCAATGCTTTTCCTTCAACTAACAGGCTTGTAAAAGGTTTTAATGTACCAAAAGAGATTTCAGAAGAAATCTTGCAAATGGAAAAGACCTCATATTTAATCACTTCACTACCTGACCATTCAATTTAGTTACCAAATTTAGTTTAGCTATCATCAAATACTGAACATTTAATTAACACTTTCAAACAAAATGAGGTCTGTGGCACTAAATAGGTACCTTTGAGTAATAGTTTGAAGCAAATAACAAAGAACAAAAATATTCCATTTTAAAACTACTATCCAAAAAGATGTGAACAATAAAATACTAATCCTTGTCTGTGTTTTGTTGAAAACAAGATCCAGCAGTTTAACATTATCCTACAGAGAAGGATGGAATTATATGGTAAGTTTTAACTGTTGTTTCCTGTTTGGGTTTTTCTTTTCAAATCTTGGTGTTATTCTTTTCAAATAAGACTTTTATTTCCATTTATTTAAGTTAACATGAAGAATTTCCTTACATTTCAAAAGAAACAGAGGAGCGAAGTATTAAGTATTAATTCTCTTAGAGACACCATTGAAAGAAACTCAATTGCCCTTACTCCTCTTCCTGAAACTTACTTTCCCTGAGCAGGGGAGATATCCCTGGAACAGTAATTGGAACATGTTCCAATTCTATGCTATTGTCTTTTACATGGTGAATTTTTCCTCGAAGACTCACATTCCTCTCTATAAATCGTGCGGGTATATCTGCAGCAGCCCCAAACTTTGTGATCTGCAAAGCAAACAGAGAAGAAGATGGAGTTTCTCGTGAGACGCTGAATTTGCTGTGGTAAATCCATTCATGACTGAAACTGTTTTTTAGAAACATCTCAACACTTAATACCAAACGGAGACAAAAAAAATGAATCAGACAAGTCATTAAAAATTAAAAACACTAGTAAATCCATTTAAATGTACCTTATTCATCCACAAAATAAAACATCATGAAACTACTAAAACATTCATTTTTAGGTCTTTATAACTTCTAATTAAAGCTACTGTATCTTCTTAGTCTTCTCCCACAATAATACAGCGATTCCTTAAGTGCCTTTAGTTTATGATTTTTGATTGTTTTCTAACTCGCTTAACATATTCATTTCCTACAGGTAATAAAACACAGTTCAACAAAAGTTATATATATATAGTTAGTTATATCAGTAAGAATATATAGATATATTATTATACACAGATTATAACAAGCCATCAGTAATTATTATAGCAACGTGAGTCTGCAAAATTTCAATAATAAAGGCTGGCAGTTTGCTGTAAAAAAGACGAATAAGGTAATCTCTTTGATGTTTACTGTGGTTCAAATCATTTGGAAGAACTTGCAATATGGGAGTTAGGTATTCATTAAAAAACATCCCATGCACTTCAGGACAAATTTGAATATTTACCAGTTTAATACTCCGGGCTAAAACAATAATTCCAGCTATCGCAAGGCCTGTGCTGATGTTCTGAAAAGCAAAAAAAAAACCTTTGTGATTTTAAACTCAAACAGAATCACAAACAGCCTTTTTTATTAAATTTAAAATCATTTTGTACATTATTTTTTCTTTGTGATTCATAGAAGACTTTACCACAGAAAGAACCATTTATTTAAAAATACAATACTGCTCTGTGAACACTTTGCATTTTATAATGAGCAAAATTGTAATCGCAAAAGTAACAAAAGAATCTTTCATAGAAACCAGTAAGCATTTTTGTGCATATTTGCTATTCTAAAGAACATTGTTCATTGTTAACCAAATGCAAATACCTCAATTTGTTCAAAAATATTTTTTAAAGGTCAAGTAAGAGTTCATGACTGAGAAATCCTTCAATTTATGTCTCATTTGATACTGACATGACTATAGCATTAGATGGATAAAATAAATGACTATGCTTCCATCCTGAACAGCGATACTTATGTGATGTTGTTCTGTCTTTAATGTTAATTTAGGGAGGAAAACATACATAAAACCACTCATATTTCCACAAATCTAATAAATAATTCCAGTAATTAAGTACCACCCACATGCATTTGTCTATATTCATGTAATTAAATGTTTTTTTAATGACTTTTTCTGGAAACCTCATTTATTTATTTAAAAAAAACTATGGGTAAGCTGCAGTATAAAATTGTGTAATAATGTATCTTAAGTTACTCTCTTTGTCATTTATCCACAATGGGAATATCTAACTGTATTTACTTGAAAATTCTTAAAACATATAGATTAAATATTAAAATACAACAGGAAATACATCTTTCCTGCAGTAATGTATTTCTTGTGCCTAGAAATATATTTTTAATCATACTATACATTTAATTTAGTATTAATAAAAATGTAAAGACTGCTACCAAACTAAGTTATGTTCCAGTATTCACCACATCATCAGCAGTGTATTTTACTACAGGGTACTGCGACGTCAAGAACCACTTTATTGTCAAGATAACCTGAATCTACTAGATATTACGGAAATTCAGGTAGAATGTAAAACGTCAAGCGTCAATAATTAATTCTATCTTTAATGGATCTAACTAGCAAATCATTCAGACTACCTGTGCTTTCAGAAAGCATTAGATCAAGATGTGCGTCAAAGTAATTGTTCGACATATGATACACTGCCTGAGTTTTTTTCTCTGATTATTATTTTTTCCTGTATAGGGATACAATACGTTACAAAAACATTACTTGCCCGCACAATTTATTTAGTCTTGATTTGATTGGGGGCTACATTATTACTGAAGAACTGCTGCTGAAAACGTTCTCCTCCAGGCAAGAGACGGAGATGTTACCTAATTAACTTCGCTTGTATTTTTTTTGGTATATGGACTCATACCCTCACGACAGTCAAATGCTCGTCAGCAATCTGAGATATTTTTGCGACAATGTTAGACGTCCGTTTGCTCCCTCCGTCTGGTTCGTCATGCTCGTCCGCAGCGGGCAGGCGCTCCTCCGGCATGTTGTTTACAAAGTTAGAAACTACAGGAGCGGCTCCGCCCAGCGCGTACGGTACGCCAAGAGGTCCAAACCTCCTCTCTCGCCCCGACGAGCTCTTCGTACAGGCCGTTCTGATGAGCATTTCAATTTTGGTGGGATTATTACATATTCTGAAAACACACACCGGTCCTCTTAGAGATTAGGAGTAAAGACTTTTTGGTCAAAGGCGATCGCTAAATTACTGAATTTAACAACAAATCGCCTGCTAAATTGTTCACAAGTAAATTCCTGTCTTTATAAATGGATTATTTATATTATTTAAAGGCCACTTCTAGGATTGAGGCTGTTCAGGACCAGGACTGGAGAACTGTCTTCTGTACTTATCTTAAATTCTAACGTCGCCTTTTATATTGCTTTCTCATCTAATATGCAAAATTATAGAAAATGTCTACTACATTCTGTCAAATACAGAAAGTTTTCTTTCCTAAACATGCAGTTTTTTTCTAAAACAACCTTACTGCTCTCCTATGCTGTTTTTATCAAGTATGTTGGACAAGGAAAGACATTTTATAGATCTTTACTCAATCTGTAATCCTAAAATCTTAACTACCCAAACTCTGAAACTAGTGAAACATTCTCGACACAAAACAGATGGAAACAAAAAACAGATTCATATTTTATTACATATAGGATATGTACTGTATTAAATCTTTGTAATATTACATCTCAGGAATGTTGATACAAAAGTTTCTTAGAACTGTTTACAGTGTGGCATACTGTATATACAATGCATATACTGTACAATTACTATGTTCTTTGTATGGAGTTTTAATTACAGAATAGACCATCTTCACCACAGAAAAAAACTAACCTGTTAAACACTGTGCTCAAGATTCAACATGATAACAATGCCATTGCCATCACCATGGCCCATTTTCCAAGAGCAGGAATTTGACGCTGAACCACTGCTTTTAACCATCTATAGAAGAGCTCAGTTTGCAAGACTGCAGCCAATATAACTTCAGGAAATATCCCAATAAAAAAAATCTACTATTTACCAATCACCTGTATGTGAGAACACACAACATAAAGTTGTGTTCTCACATACAGATAAATCAGATATTCAACAACTGAAAACGCAGTCCAGTTTGGCTGTTGTAGTTGAGCACAAACCATCTCATTGTATCCTTAAGAGAAGGCATATGAATGAATCACCATCAAAGCCACTTCTGAACAGCAATGTCAGCTTTGACACAGAAAGAATACATTGTTAACCAAGTGACCACAACATTAAGACCTCCTATTGAACACACATTTTATAAACTAAAAAACCCTACAATCTCATATGGGTAATTTGGGAAACGTGAAGACCCATTCAAAAAAATCTCAGAACTAAACTTTTAAAAGAAAAGATTGTACAAACTTAATCATTTAAAAGGAACCAAGTACTTCAATATAAATTCCAACATTAATTTTGTTGCTATCAGGGTCTGCCTCAGGTTTAATCTGTATCCTTCACCCTCTAGTCTTCTTGATCTGCATCAACAGCGAGCAATACTGCAAATTGTAGACAAAAATCAAACTTTTTAAGAACGACATCTTGTTGTTACAAATGTTTTTATAATCTACAATCTGTTTCATAATGTGAATTTATCACTTTACACACGACTGGATGACATCAGATTAGATCAACCAGATAAAGCTTTTTTTAATCAATGAACCATACAAAAATATATATATTATGTATGACTAGATGTGATGCATACACTTTTCAAAGTTTTCAATTGTGAACAGAACCTTGTGAAGGTTGATGTAACAGGTAAATGATTTCACAGATGTTCATCCGTTATCAAAACGGGTGGCTAAAACGCATGCTTTTAAAAAAGGCACATGTTACAAGAAAATAAAAACGACATCTTTTGAAAGCAGTGGCAGAGTGTTCTTCTTTAGTTAAGCATAGTAGTTAGCATAGAAATATGTGACTTGCTCAACCTTGCCAGCAGGAAGTTAATTTCATAGTACCAGTTCTCATCCCTTATCCTATTGAACGATGAATCGACGCTGCAGTGAAGAGTAAGAAAGCTACCTAGATTTAGCTCTTATTTCGAGGGTGAAAGTCACTGGAGCCCACCCTGCACCTGCAGTGGCAGCACGACCACGATGATGACAGGACAGGCGTCCGATCATTTAGCTGTCCTGCACTGCCAGGCCGACGGCCTTTCCTCCTGCAGCCTTTTCATCTTCTTCCCCAGCCAGAACCACCAACCAAAGCCAATGACAACACAGACTATAGACTCCACGTAGTAGCCATCCAGCACGGTTACACAGGAGCCTCCAACTTTTGCACACAGCTAAAAAGAAATTTTAAAAAGGGAGACAAAAGCATTAAAGATTCAATTAGAACAATTCGTACACGCCCCATATGAACGGGGCTCTGTCCTGGATGTGAGCATTTCAGCAGAATAATGTGGCAAAGCCAACTGTTGTCTTTATATCTCGATTCACAGCAGCCACCCAGAGGACACAAGTGACACCAGCAGGAGGTGGATTTAAAAAATAAGAAAAGGAAGCACTTTCTTACACAATGGATTGTAGGTGCCTGGAAAAAGCTACACAGCCATGTTTTTGGAGCTGATATCCTGCCTTCCTTCAAGGAACAGCTGGATAAGAAACCCAGATCAATCAACTGCTAGGAACTAAACAAGCTAGATGGGCCAAATAGCCTGCACTCATTTGTAATTTGTCTTGTATTGTAATGAAGATGAGTAAACCAGGTCCTGTGAGCCACATACCCATTGGACTAGTGGCGTTTTTACAAACTCGCCCAGCTCAGCCATGCCTTGCAGGAGGGTAACTTCTGATTGGAAGAGAGTTAAACCCATCACTGATATCACTGCAAGCTTTCTGGCGCCCAGTTACACAAAGAGAACTCTATTCGACTAATTCAACCCCCACCCAGTGGTGCTCAGCCAATCATACGCCACCATTTGGACAATCACAGTTGCCTAGCAACACAATCCAGGAACAAGCACACAGCATCTAGGCCCTGCGCCCTCTTTATTTCATAGTATGCGTAAACATCATGTATCTCTAGGTCAAGCCTGAGGATGATGATGATGATTTACATGAAGACGTCTGTATTTTAACAACAGAAATGCAAGGGAAACCTTCACTGATGCGACCAAAGGACATACAAAGCATTTACTTACATTTATTATTTATACTGCTCACACCAGCAACAGAACAAGCAAGAAGGCACCAGAGGCCTCTTTACATTTCTAAGCTTCTTACGTGGCTTTTAATGCAAACCTGAGTTACACTGTTGAGCAGCCTTTGAGGATAAGAAAAGATCTTGAATGTCTGACTTTTTAACGCCCAAAGGCTCAACTGGCACTTACCAAAAAAAATCACCAATACACCGGGCAACAGAAAAGCACGTTGATATTTACCCCTGCTTCTTCGGGAGACCCGCAGGTCTGCCCTTCCGCTCCTTGGCACTCCTTCACCGTGAGCGGGTCCACGAGCCACAGCGCCAGGGTGGAAGGCCAGTTTCCTCCCAGGTTGGTCACAGTGTTCAAGAGAGTCATGTATGTCCCACCAATCACTGGATCGCTGACTTTAGCATGAAACGCCATGACAGCCACATACATGCTGTACAAAGCAACCTGTTAAAAGATAAAGGAATAAGCCGTCTTAGAATCAGCTGGATCAATTAGCTACTCCCTGTTGTGATGATACACCACATTTCACTATCACCCTTGTTGATATGTAGCTAGTTAACACCGTCAAAAAGATAAATTGCCTGTACTGACGCCTGTGATCAGCAGACGTAGAGACGTTTTATATGTAACTTCTTTCCGTCTCACAAAAAAGGGCTTTCATAAAAAATGTTGCACACGCAGTAGATGAAAGAGGATTGTATGCTCTCAGCACCGAGCTGATGTCTTACTCAAGACGTGTGACAGAAAACCATTCACCTATGCAGCTATTCTTACGTTTCATTAAGGAGCGTGCGTTGGTATCAATCACATCCAATACAAAACAAGGAAAAATTATCCTTGGCCTAGGTGCCCAGGATAAATGGAAAAGCTGCATGTGGTGTTCTAAGCTCTTTTGGTTAAAACTGTAGACAAGGAAGTTCCCTGTTTGGGGGTATAGTTGCATGTGAGCATAGAATGTAATCATCTATTATTGCCTGCAGTGATCACGTGAAAGAAGAAGTAAAAGCAAAGGTGGCTGCGTTCACAAAGGCTATGGCTCCAGTTACCACGTACTTCTCAGTGACTAGGTCATGGGTTCATGGGTGTGCAGGCCTGCAGTAATACAATAGGACCTACAAGGCTGTCACAGAGTGCTGGGGACAGTAACAGTGTAGGAACATAAATCAAAAGAAGACAAAATTAAAATTAACACATTACTTAACTTTACCAATTATCTATTAGGAGAAAGACATTGAAGACAAATCCTTACCTGGTGTACAGCATAACTTATGAGGACCACAATGTAGTAATAGACAGGAAATCCTCCCTCTTGCTTTACACTGGGAGTCCACCACACCAGCAAAGCAAACCCCAGTCCAATCAGTAACCTGCAGATCATTAACAGCAGTGCGTTAACACTGAGCAAAAAGACAACATTCCTACATACACTTTCAATATCAAAGATTTTAAGTGCATTTCCACTGCTGGTATGTTTTCTTGAAATTTCTTGAATGTATTTACCTAAAAGGAAAGGCTTTGTAAAAAATGTCCAGTGGGCGAGGGCCTGCTGTGTACTTGCTGATGATCAAGGGCAGCAGGATCTGCAGGGGGACCATCGGCACTGCCAGCAGGGCCAGCTGCTCTTTAGGGACTCCCTCTTCTACTAGCTTGAGTCCAGTGACAGCATCTGCAGCAGAGAAGCCCATCTGGAATAAACACGGATCAATTAAAACACGCGTGTAGATGGCTTGGAATATGCACGGCATGCACAGTACATTACTATGCAGCAAGCCAAGCCAAGGGACCAGCACCTACTTTAGCAGTGAGCAGAAGAACACAGAATGTCAGAACTGTTGGCATCTTGATAATTGAGAAGAGATGTTCATAGGTTTCCAGGACTCCCTGCGTCTCCTCCTTGGGCTTGGACTTTTTATTGTTTTCCTTCTTCAAGATAGCCACCAGTGTCGTGGTCACCAAGAAAACAATACCCCAAAAAAACAAGAAGTCTACAAAAACAAAGGAAACAAAAAAAAAAGAAAAACGATATTGGGATTTCTAAAGGTCCAATAAGCACACATGCCTTAATATGACTACAAAATAAAACTCAGTTCATTTACATTTTCAGGAAAAGTCTAGTTTATGTCCTAAAGTGTATGTCCTTTGGTACAGGTTATGTTCTAAAACCCCTGTTACCTGCCTAAATCTTCAAATGGAGGCTTCATTTTCAGACAAATTCCACATTAAACATAAGGTCGCACAATAATTGCAACCAGGACTTTATTACTTTATTAGAAATAACTCTAAACCTAAATTCTAGTCATACGCACTGTCCTATGCTCACCCACAGTAGGCTGCATTGTAACCCCTGGGTTACTGATACAACCATATTTTTAATTTAATTAAAATTCCAGTCCAGAGGTTCGTTATAAGCTTACTGAGGCACTTAATCAATAATGGCCAAGAGGAATGTGTTGACTTTTGGTTCCATCACTCGATAGGCTAAATATAACAAGTCTTTCATGTACGACACTTAGGCCAACAAAACCAAGTCTAAATATGGAAATAGAGTAGTTCTCCGCCACAAGATTAATTGTGTTGATAATATAAATCGTTTGCTACTCATTAGGCTACGCAACTGGTCCATAATATTTACTTTGTGCACAAATTACTCTCCCTTAGCTCCTTCTCATTACACCTGGGATTCACATATCTATTTGCTTCGTGGAAAAGAAAATGCCATTTTCATCCCGCTCAGTAAACAGCGCAAACTAATTTATCACCAGGCACCATAGTACCTGAGAGAGTGACAATCCCTTTGGGCTTCGGCTCAAACCGAAGGTATTTATTGCAGAAATCCGCAGACTCCAGAGCCAGGAAGAGCACGTTTCCCAGGAAGTACCCCGCCGTCTGTCCGACGGAGTTGCAGGTCGAGGCGTATCCCACGTTCTCCCGGGACAACATGGTCAGCGCCCAGCCATCCACAGCGATGTCCTGAGTGGCGGCCAGGAACTCGAACATGAAGAACACGGCGGTGATGGTCACAATGTGCGGGCCCTTCTGGCCATCGCTCTCCAGCAGAGAGTCCACCTTCGTCGACAAATACAGCATGAAGACGCCCAGGAGATACTGGGTGGGCACCAGCCAGGACTTCCTGCGGCCGAACGTCTTAAAGTACACGGCGTCCACCAAAGGCGCCCAGAGCAGCTTGAGGCTGAAAGGCCAGAAGACGAAGCTGAAATAAGCCTGGTCCGTGTAGCTGACATTTTTGCTCTGTAGAATGAGAGGTATGCTCCCAGCCAACCCCAGTGGGATCCCCTGCAACACGTAGAGGAACAACAGCAACGACACGTTCCCCAGTTCCGCTCTCAGGCCTTTCCGTGCCCTCGGGTGCCCTTCCGCTCGGTCAGACTCGTCCAGCAGAACCTCTTCCTCCGTCCCGAACTTGCCATCGCTGAGTTTCATATCCAAGGACACGGTTTTGCGTTGCCTCCCGTTCTTGTGCGCGACTGAGTCTGCCATTTCCGTGCCGGTGCGCTGCTCTCGGGGAATCTGAAAGAGCGTTTTGAATAGGAAATGATTTGGTAGCTGTCGAGTCCAGCGCGAACAGACGACGACGACGACGACAACAACTCGTGTGTAGCTACTGTAACAGACACCTGGGACGACATTCAAGTATTTTAACACAAACATTTGTTTCCAGTCTTCTTAGTCAAACTGGTGAGATATCTCACTATAATTTATTAGTATTAGTCAAAGTGGTTTTGAGGAATACAATTCGCTAGGGCTGTATTAACATGAAACCTCGCCACTGCTTAGAACAAATATAAAACTTTACGTTATAGAATGTACGTATTCCGCAAACAAAAGTCAATTAATAGTGCCGCAAAATTACACGTAGTATTGCATGTTTTTCTACGACTGATATACTACAGACAACAGTCAACTAGCAAAACACCAACAAACGATGCACTGTTTAGGAAAGGCACACGATTATCAGGAAGTACAGATAGTGATATTCGAAGTATTATAAACACAACACAAATCGAAATGCAAGCATGAAAAAGACCAAAATAACACTTAACGAAATGATCTAGCACGATACCTGATGCGAAGATAAATCACATGTCAATTCAAGTGGATTAATGTCAGCGAACGAATAACGCACAATCACACCTCTTGGGAATGAATGAAAGTGCAGGATGCCTAGCCATTAAAATGCCTTTAAAAAACAAAACGTACAATTAAAGTACGGTTGGAAAGACCAGTTTAATGCCGAAACACGTAACTCCACCTCTCCCGTTATAAGGTTACCGGTAAAATGCAAGCGGTGTGGTTAAGGAAACCTGTGTAACACTGAAACCCTTCCGCGGGCTTAAGATGACGTGTCTGAACAGCCGAGCACATTTCAGTTCCTAGCCGGGGCACTTCTGAAGGCTATTACAGTGATAGCGGGGGAACCTGAGCACCACCACCTGCTTTTAAAATACACAAAACAAGTGAGCTCTGTGATGTGGGGTGTAACGTTATCATCTAAGACAACTGCATCGAAAATCTTCACGCGTTTTGGAAAGTCGCTAACCTCTAGCTGCAGAAGAGAGAGAGGCGAAATTGTAAAAACTAAAAGTTGGTTCCGCAAACCCTGCAAACCTGTTTATGTGGTATGACTCAGCTACAATCTTTAATAACGAAAGGGGAGACCATAATTATGATTCAATATCTCAAGCTCTGTTTGGGAGATTTTTAATGACGAAAACTGCAGTGTGCTGGAAAAGGTTAATGCTCACTCGCGTTGTATACGTACGACAGCCAGTGAAAGACTATGATCTCTACAAGGTATTTTTTGCATAATTCAAAACACGAAACCCCTTCCACACCCACACATAGAACAATATCTGACTCAAAATGTCACTATACTACAAAGCCTGCTTTAACGCATGATAAGGTTTTTGCATTTGATATCAATGGCAAACATACCTCCGAGGTGCCGCAAAACCGAAACTCCTAGATATATTCGCTAGACGCCGGAAGACGAACAGAACTGTACAGACATCGTGTATAGGCATCGACACAGGGCTTTTGTTAACCATATTCCGTCTCAAATATCAGTAACCAGTATAACAACTTGCAGTTTAGTCACGACAGCGCAACCCCGAGTGTAATAGCTTCACAGGGAATGTGAATGTGAAGGTGAAGTATGCAGTAAAAGGAACGTATTAATTACAATTACCTCTACATAGAATAATCTGTGAGATCTGTGTTGTGGTTCACTCGTCCCTTGAGGAAACAAGCAACATTTTACTAAGGGTTACATCACATTTTCAAACGTTTATTGAGGAAAGGTTTATCCTGGGAAAATTATGTAATCTGTCCAAATATTTAAAATTGTCTCAGAAGAAAAAAAAAGTTTGACATTATTTAGGGATGTTTAAAAATAAACGCTGCCAGAAATAAAAAAAAATACACTGAATTAACAAGTCTTATTCTTAACACCTGCTATATTTAGAAGGGGCAATCGCCGAAAAATAGTTCCAGGGTCATAAAGCGAAGAGTTCAGAGAAAAATAAACTACAGATTATATCTCTGCAATGTATTCTTGTGCAAAATGAAAATGCATATGAATTCAAGTGACATTAATTCATCAGTTTGGAATGCTCGCTGATGTCTGCGTCCTGCCCTCTGGTGTATCACGTTATAATTACAACGCATGACCCATGCTTTTCTTAAGTATACTTGTAATACTTTTCTCAAGAATTGGAAAGATGAAAATTGGGGTCATTGGTGGCTTTCACGTTTAATGGGTAAGAGCTGAAAGTCAAAATAAAATACTTTAAGACTGCTGCAGATTATGTATTATATTGGTATTTTAAGCGCGCTGTCATCGTCTAGACTGGAGGAGGTTGTTTTGCTACTGGCTCGCTGTAGGTTTGAAGTCGCCGACCACGGACTAAACACTATGTGAGCCTCTAAGACAGGCGTCAGTATTGTGCGCGATGAACTTTGTCTCTGTGGCTTAGTGCAAATCTTAACCACTTACAAGAAGCAGTATTACTGTTTGTTTTGTATTCTCTTTTTCTAAGCATCACTGTTCTATTTCTGTTTCGGGATTCTTTTTATTTAGACGCAGAATGGATTTAAATCATACACTAAATGCACTAACCCTACTCAAAATGCTTTGTGGCTGTTTAAATATATGCATGTGCGTTGTTTGACTTAACAAGTTAGCTATTTTGTCATTCAGACAGGGGATGTCTATGTCTAGTAAAAAGGACTTCCAGAATAGCTCCTGTAAATATCTGCACACATTGGATGAGCACGACTCTCGTGTGTAAGAACAACCACTTATTGGAAATTAAATACTTCGTTGTAATTGAAGGAAATACTATACAAGGACACGGGCCGTTTTAAAAAGACGAGTATTTCTTTATATTTAACTGGTAAGAATCCATTATTATTCTTCAAATGCATGGATTTGCACAAAGCAATTGAACCAGAGCATGGTTCAAATTGGGTTCTGTTATTTTTATAGTTTGTGTCGTTTTCTATTTCACTGTATTCTATTTTTCAAGTTGCACATCAGTCACTTTTCAGCGACCTTCAGACGTCTCAGTTAACAGAGGCAGCTACAGGAATCACAGGTCAAACTTCACTTGTACGGATGTTACAGATTTTCCAGGCTCGTTAACCTTTGTTCATGTGACCACAATACTACGCCTCAACAACCAACAGACTTGCTAGTATTGGAACAGCGCCCTCTTCAGGATGGATTATAGTGCAATTGGAAGCAGCGGTATATGGTCTTTACAAAGCAGCCTCTAATAAAATAATTTCGGCTAAAATTAATAGGTAATTTAGCAGGCAGAAGTCATGAACTTCTGCAAGTCGTGTGATTTTGAACACTTCACTGACACTTCAGTCTCCTTACAGTAGTAAAATAGTATCGCCTTTCAGTCATTCAACAATTAAACATTTCTTGTTATCGTCACAAATGTCAATATCGAACAGACTATAAATCGATTTGATATCACTTTTTGATGTGTGCTTTTCATGGTAGTAATTGCATTTGTATTTACAGGTTAATGCACCGGCGCAATAACATTTCTATAGAAATATTTCATGTCGCACCGTGTCCATATCATGCGTTGTCCTTCACAATGCGAGTCTACAGCACAGTGCACTGTACAATGTACAATAACATTTCAGTTGGAAAAGCACTAAACCTAATGGAGCGAGCAGCAGTTGCCATGAACTCTTACTGTCACATAGATGTTCTCGTGTTATTATCTCTGCTATGAACATCTGACGTTCTACTTTGGGCCTGCCATTTCTGTTATCAGCAAAATTTGGAAACAGTAACACGTTACACTTTGCATGACCCCCACAGCCTGGATACCATTTCGTCACGGAGACGATAAAATGGTCTGAACCGTCCTGCGTGCTGAGGAATCCAAGATAATGTGTTCGGCGTGTTGAGACTTAGCTGCATTTATTAATCATGCGCTGGACGTTGCGTTGGCAGTCTGCGTGAAAGCCACATGGCTCTAAATAAAGCTGTATCTGGCATGTGACGGCTGGCGTAGCACACATGTGACACTGCTCGACAGCAGTCTTCGTACAGCCTTCAGGAACCGCAAGCGAGGACCGATTCCAAAATGAAAATAATAGGTCTAATGAAATAGTGTACATAGGATAAATCGTAAAGGAAATTTAAGCCTAGTGGCCAGTAGATGACGCTCATTCGATCAGTTTAAGGTAATTTCAACAGACGATACTCATGCAATACTCAACATGTAATACTGCTTCCAAATAATCAGGTTAATAACGTTGCCAACTTTATGTCAGAGCTTAAATGTTTTTAAATCTCCTTTACATTATTTTCCCTTCCATCCATGTGTCAGCCCACTGAAATGGTTTAATAATAAATAAAGACGAGAGCTCTTCGCACGTAAAGCGCCTCACATCTCAAAGGAAACCAAAGAACACTCCAGATAGGAGGGAGCCCACCACTGACATGCAGCCCCACTGCACAGCCCATCAGGTGGAGAAGTGAGAAGGCACTAATCATTGAGATAGGAGGAATAATACTTCACAGGTATCCGCATAGCAAAATGTCAGGAATCTGATGTATACTTCTTGAACTTGGGTCCTGTGTCAGACTTTGAGACATATTCAACAAGTCATCTTGAATCTTCTTACAGTCTCCTCATTAACTGAAGCTCTATAGTGTAGTATAGTGTAGAACTGGTGGCTTACAAAAGCAAGAGATGCAATCTACAGAAATAGAATAGAATTTATGATCCCCAGCATTATATATACAAGTAGTAGTGTCTATCACTTAGTAAAATATATTTTAAACACTTAGATAATAAGATAGCATAACATGATGCAGATTTGACAAAACATAAAAAGGAAACGTTTGTGTCTGTGTTTTGAGTAGGCCATGGTGCCTGGAAAGGGTACAATCTCTTCAGCACAGCCAGCGTGTTTAAAGCATGTCTGGGCTGTGTGATAGATAGATACTTTTTTGATCCCGTGAGGGAACTTGCAGTGCAACAGCAGCTTAACACACACAACACCGCCACAGTGTAACAAATGATACAATACAATCATTACAGTGAGAAGTGCACTTCGAAGAGTTACTCACAGTCCAGACCACACGAAGAACAGAACAAAACACAAAAAAGTCGTATTGCACAATATAAATTTAAATGTATTGCACAGGTCCCTGGCATATATTGCCAAAACGGTTTTAAACGGGAAAAAGAAAAAGACCAGATATATCAGTTTACTGTTCAGTCCAGAAACAGGTCACTGTCAATGTTGCCTCTGCCCAGATGCAAGGTGGATGAGTTGTCCAGTCTTATTGCAGAAGGCAAGAATGACCTCCTGTATGTAGCGCTCCCTGTCGTACCGTGGATGGATCAGTCTTTAGTGCGACAGTGATGCGCAATGATAAAATATTCTATTCAAAATCACACTCAGCCAGTGGTCTGGCAGCGCAGAGTCTCCCTGGGAGAACGTAAGAGCGCCCTTACTGACGGTCTACTGTGTGCATATTCGCCAAAGTAGATGGGAACATGCACATTAGCTTTTGTGTTTTCAGCGATGAAACAGGCAAATTATTCTTTTGTCATCGCACACTCTTGAAAGCAGCTGGTTTTACTTGGGAGGTTGGGAGGTTAAAGGTTTTGAGGAAAAACTTTATACTGTCATAGTTTATATACATGATGATATTATTATACTGTTATTATTGCACTAAATAATAATTGCTTACACTTATATTATTTATTACACTTACACTTATATATAATAATAATAGAGTTACAAACTAGCGAGCCTACAGGTCCTGCCATAAAATACTTAAAAAACAGTCGTGCATTCTTGTACTTATTCATATCAAGACACCTCCGCAAAAAAAAGATATTTTTAAGACTTGGGCATGTAACGCATCAAACCTACAGCGTGCGAAGCTAGGTCTCTCGGAAAAAGTTCCAGGCATGTGAGAAATTGAAATAAAGCTATCTCCCTCTGCCAGATACGTTAGACGTTTGACGTTTTCTTGAAAAAAAAAAAAGTCCCTAAGTGCTCCCCCGCCGCTCTTTCCCCACCATTTCAGAAATGTCGATGGCAAGCCCCGCGTCTCAGACTCCTCCCCTACTCCCCCCTTCCCGGATAATTTCTCAAAGTCTCCCAGTCAGGCCGGCCGCAGGGCTGAGCGGCGAGGCGCGGGCGGCATTGTGGGAAAGCTGGAGCGGGGCGCACATTAGTGGCAGCGGTCGGCGCGCGAAACCCGGACTGAGCTTGTCCTCCGCGGAGCAGAGCGAGACGGGTCTCCATTCCACCAGGCGCTCATGGCACTGTGCAACGGGGACACCAAGGTCAGTACGCCGGCCTGCGAGCCGCAGCGGGCCGGTCGCCGCCGACCCTCGGCGTCCACAAAGATTAAAAGCGTGCTCGCCTTCTCCGGTGAGGCGTGCGGGCAGTCCCCCTGTGGCTGCAAGTGCCTTGTGGTACGGATCAGGATGCTGGGATAGTCCCCGGTCACGGCCTGCCTGCTTCCCAAACTAGTTCAACCCGGGGTGATGGGGAGGGCGCTTTCAGATCGTTGCGGAGGGTCGAAATAGATATATTTTTTTCCCCCCTCCCCGCGATAGCCAGGCGTGCGCTCAGATCCTTGCGGATAAGGACGGGAACCGGCAGGGAACACGTTTCAGACGCTTTCAGTTATGTCAGACTACAAGTAGTTCTTGCTTGGCTGGTGCATCAGTCGGATGCACACCGCGTGGATTTCCACATCGCTGTCTGAACTCTGAAGGGGGCGATTGCGCCGCATTCACAATAAAGATGTTTTTGTTTTTTTAAAAAAAGACCAGGTGAATTCACACACGCTGTCAGATTTCGCTGTCTGTGGACGTGTACGGGGCTTTGTGTTGCTTCCTACGGCGTGAACTGCCATTTAGTAAATTCTTACATAATTTCTGTTCCTTATTTCTGCATAGGCCACTAGTTATCCGTGCTTTCCGACAGGTCCGGGTGTTTTTATTTTTACCTGCACCGGCTACACCGTTCGTGAACTTTCTGCGTCATCAGCAGAATCACATTTGTTCCGAGCCTGGGCTACACTTCGAATTTTTGTAGCTTTTGCACGGGTGGAAATCATCAGGCTCTGCCTGTTTCTCAAAGACGGAAGTGAAATGCTCGCTGCCCACGTGGGAATGAAATGATGCTTTGCCCTTTTTTAACTCTCGCACGTTAGAAACTTTGTTTTTATTGTAATTTATGTTTTTTTTACTTCACACCTGGATAGTGCTAGTCTACCGTATTCACATTGAACGTTTTTTTTTACTTCTCTGTGATATAATGTTCAGAGATGTTATTGTGGTAAGTGCATTTATTAGAAAAAGAAACAAGTAATAGGTTTATTCCATGCTGAAAAGAGAAGAAAGAAAACACAACGTTTCGGCAGTGGAGCCTTCTAGCTGAAATGTTGTTTTCTTCTCTTTTCAGCATGGAATAAACCTATTACTTGTTCCTTTGCAGCCACGCATGCTGACTCAGCTGCCCACCTGATCTACCTTTATTAGAAAAAGTTAGCTTTAAAACCAGCTTAGTTATTGTAAAAGTGCTGGTCTGTTCTTTACTGTTAACGGCAGTAAAATATTCAGATATATACCTGCTTTTGCACCATTTTAGCTTGAAACTTTTTTTTTGCCTTAAGTTCTAATCAGTTGATCATTCAATCAATAAATCAGTCATTGGGGCCCACAGAAATATCTGTCCGTCATTTACAATTACAAATTGCGTTTAGTAAATGTCGCACTTCTTCAGATCTCTTTTTAGAATCAAATTTGTATTCCCCCCCCAAAAAAAAATAAACGGAGAACACGACATTCTCCATCAGCCCCATCTCCCCTCGCAGTTCAGTGGTACCCCTCTGGACAGGGTGCCGCAGTGGCGCTCGAAGTTGTTGCATGGGGGCTCCACAAGATTCACTGTGTCAACAGCAGCACCCCAGAACTCCACGGTCCCAAACTGGCGCCCTGATTCCAAGCAGAGGAGAGCTCTGTGTCACTCGAGACAGACCAGAGTCTACAAGTGCCAGGGGAAGGAGAGTGGAGTCCGCGGACTCTCTCAAAAGTCCTTCCCTCCTTTTTCTAACTGCTTTATCCACTATGTTAATACAACGCTGCTGTGTACATGATTGTTTTTTTCAGCCACAAGGCCATCTTTGAGGACGTTTCCTGTTTTGTAATGAGGATTTTGTCCACCTGGTGTAATAAGGTCATTTCTTTTAGGTGTTTTTTTTTTCTTTTCTCGGAGTGCGTGACGGTTTGTACTTGTTTTAAACTGCCACGCTGAAACTCGTGGATGGGTTGGAGAAAGGGGGCCGGGGCAGGATCTGCAGTGGACTAAGTCTTGTCCTGCGCAGTGAGACATTCCTAGGCAGGACCCCTACGGAGAGCTTTGATCAAGTTTAGAGCAAGCCGCAGGCAGTTCCCCTAGATTTCATCGATGAAGCTGAAAGTCACATGAGTTTTTCAGCTAATTAGCGTTCCAAGCTCATTAGCAGCTAGCGTCCCCATATGCGCGAGAGCCCGCGTCTCCGGTCTAAAACCCGAAATGGCTCAGGCTGGAACGGGTGGGGATTCTGAGTGCCGTCCTCGGGTTTCGAACGTGTTCCGTGCCTGCGCCCATGCCGGTCCTGTCTGTGTTGCAGCTGGAGATCGCTCGAGAACCCAAGGAGGGGCCGGGCCCTTACGAGGGGGCGGTGGTCATCCTGGACGCTGGGGCCCAGTACGGGAAGGTCATCGACCGGCGCGTGAGAGAGCTGCTCGTCTGCTCCGAGATCCTGCCGATCGAGACCCCAGCCTTCGCCATCAGGGAACAGGGCTTTCGGTACGAGGGGGAGACCGGGGGGCTTTTTGGTGGTCTGCCTGGTGGGAAGTGCGTGTCAAGCTGTGGTGCTGCAAAGCGAGGACCTTTTGCTGTCTTTGTAAAGCAGGACGTTGACATCTAAAGAGGAGCTGCAGTGCCGTTTGATTATAGTTTGGGCTTAGAAGGAATCGGCATCGATGAGTGCATTTCAGACCAGCACGGAAGTAAAATGTACACGGTACCTTGTAAAAGCCCCAATTTACATCGCAAAATAGGCGGAATTCATCAAAAATCTATAACGTCAATTAATTTATTTTGTTAGCAAGAATAAATTAAATGGGGAAATGGGGACTGCAGTTCCCCTTTAATTAAAGGTGACCATGAAGTTTCAGTTTGGAAGTTACGGTCGCATAGGTTTTAAAAAACTAGATGAGTTACTACAGGGGTAGTAGCACAGGGGTAGAGCTGAATAAATTCCTTTAGTCCTGAAATGACCGTACGTTCCGGCAGGGGAGTGACAGGAGTTCCTCTTGGCCGGATTTTGGCCCATTAAGAGACAGATTGTGGATAAAGCATTTCCTCAGTATGGTGTTTAACTCTATTGGTCACGCATCTCTCTGGGGTGTCACTGGTCTCACATGGTCCTTTGAAGATAATGCAGGGAAATTAAGGTTTGGAATGCTTCATTTAAATGCTCTGGTTTGGTATTTTGTAGTTCACAGAGGCGCAAAATAAATTTGATAAGCTGGTAGCTTTTTTTTTGCTGTCCAGACAGGAATGGTATATAATTCTTCACCTTATATCTTGTATTGGATTTTTTTCTCCTTGTTTTATAGTTTACCTTGTTTCTGGACAGCAGCAAGCAGTTTTCAAATTGATGTCAAGATCTAGGTTTTTATCCTCTGCAAACTTTGCCAAACTTAAGTATTTTGAAATGCAAATAGTTTTTTTTAAATAGTTAATTAAATATCTTAGAATATTTGGCCTGTAGCCTTCTTTAGTGGATGTCAGCGTGTAGCAGTGTGGTTTGTTATTTTGAGCTGCAAGCATTTTAACAAAAAGTATAAATAAAGCGGAAAACGTATTGTATTCATTTCAACTCCTCATCTCTGTGTTCCAGTGCATTCAAAATAAAAGACTAAAATCTTAATTGTACTGCCAGTAGGCCTATATTAATGAACCACAGGCATATTAGAACCCAAAATGGTAAAGAAGTAGAAAAAATACAAAGATGATTGTATTTAAGTTGATCAAAGTTAGAACGGGTAAAAACGCATTCCTTTTTTTGGTTGTTTACACCTTGTGTCCTTCAAGCCTGGAAAAGAAGTTTTGTCTATGTTCTCTTAGTTCTGCACATACTGTAGGAGTCCTGCCTAGTATTCATCCGTAGCACAGTGCTATTACTGCTCCATTGGAGTCCGGATCCTTTCATAAACCTTGAGACTGGTCAGAGTGGATAAGGTAATGTGCATTGTAAACAAAGAGCTTTTCAAACAGCATGATGTTGCTTTAAGACCAGTGCTGCTTGCGTGATTCCTAGTAAACACAATAGGACAACTGAGGGCAGAAGTGGACACTAGGTCGAAGTGCATTTAAAACGGACAATGAGACACAGAAGTGTTGTGGGAGTACGGAACAAGCGACACAGCCATGGTGTTGAAGCTGATGCCCTGATTTCTTCCGAGAAACATCTGGATTAGGGCCTCAGTGGGCCAGACGGCCTCCTCTCGTTTGGATCCTTTCTAATGTTCTTAATCAAGGCAAGAAACCCCCCTGCTTATTGCTTGCATTGCAGTGGAACGAATATGTCTTAATATGTAGAAAACTAGTACACAGCAGCAGCTCCGGACCTTGAGCCCCCGCTCCCCCTCCCCCAGCTCCGTCCTGGAATCAGATCTGCCCCGTTGTCGTTTCTGTCAAGGGCACACGAGCTGAAAGCTGATCATCTCACAATATAAACAGAAGGCAGTGGTTTGTATCTCTTTCTCCTCGTTGGGGTCCTCATGGTAAGTCAGGTAATTGACCTTTAAACTCAACTGTATGAAAATCGCAAGGAAATGTCCCCCTTTTTAGGAGGCAGAAAGTGTTGAAAACTGAGCGTTTCTCTTCAGGTCGGACCCCGGGGGAGGTTATCCGAGGGTCGAGGGTTGCTCTTGAACTTCGGCGCGATGTTCCCGCTGTGTGCAGTGTCAGGTTCACTGGCGCGCACAAGGGGCAGCTCAGCAGGGTTCAGTTCTGGCTGGGGGTGTCTGCTCTGCTGTGTGGAGTTTGTTCTGCCTCTGACAATGTATGTGTTTTCCCGGGTTTTGTGGTTTCCTCCCACAGACCCGCTGACTGGGTTAAATGGGGTCTCTAAACTGTCCTTGTGTGTGTGCCTTTGATAGACTGGCATCCTTGCCCAGGGTGTATTCTTGCTGCTGTGCCCTGTAATTCTATAAGTTTTATACAAAGGCCCTCCAGTTCTTCTACATTCTCCCCCCCCAAACATTTCGTCAACCATATCACTGAGTAAGTTGATTTCGAAGATCCGTAATAATAGGAATAGAAATGAGACGATGACTTTCCCTTTGCTCATGTTTGCTTGTGCTCTTTGCAGCGCCATTATAATATCAGGAGGACCAAACTCCGTTTATGCTGAAGACGCACCTTGGTTTGATCCTGCCATTTTTACCATTGGGAAGCCAATTTTGGGAATTTGTTATGGGATGCAGGTAAGTCATGAATCCTGTAAAGCATTTTCTTATCATTTGCCATGGATGCATTTTGCCTGTGGGCTTGTTGTTTTTCTTTTTATAGTGTAAAAAGAAAATTACATTTATAGTGAATGTCATGTGGATAACTCATTTCCATGGTTGCCCATGTTTTTTCATGCTTTGTTGTCATCCCTTTAAAGATCTTATTGTATTTCCGCAGATGATGAACAAAGTCTTTGGAGGCACTGTTCACAGGAAAAGCGTTCGAGAAGATGGAGTCTTCAGTATCAGTGTGGATAACTCCTGTTCCCTTTTTAGGTGTGTTGGAATCGGACACAATAATTCATCCCACCATTTCTATCTCTAAACAGCTCCACGTTTACACTCCCTCCTGTAGGCTTCATTCAATTGAGGCTGGTCCTTTGCACACTGTATCCAGGACTAAATCAGGGACTTTTCTGTCGCTGCTCCAGTGTTATAGAACGCTCCTTCCCTAGACTCTACGAGAGACAAATTCTTTGACTCTCTTCAAATCCAAAGACAAAAACTCGCCATGTTACCACAGCCTATATTTGATCTTCCTACATTCTGGCTGTATAAGCATGTATGCACTTGTTTTTTTTTCCTTGTCTTTATCACTATGTAAAGCATGGAGCTATTTTTTTTAGCAGGGTACTACATGATGCAGACAACACCACTGTGCTTACAGTTGGCAACGTAAATATATGACATTCGGCGGAGTTGAGTAGTTTTAGAGTACAAATTGCATTCAGTTAATCAAAGTGCCACTAGCTAGCTTGCCTTGCTACTGCATAAATGATTAGAAAGTGGCTGGCAAGTACATAACTCGTTTCTAGCCAAGTCATTTTGCATGGAATTCTTTTTCTGGATGGTCCTGTAACAGCTGATTTCTGAGCAACATCCGGGATGATATTGTACCTATGCCTGTGTCCAACATAGCCTCAGGTTACTGCTAGTTTGGCTTCCTGTAAAGGTTCCAGGGAGCTTTGGTGTAGCAGTGCTTCACTGTGTGCCCTTTCTGTATGTGTCCGTCTTCAGAGGCCTTCAGAAGGAGGAGCTGGTGTTACTGACCCACGGAGACAGTGTGGACAAGGTAGCTGATGGATTCAAGGTGGTGGCGCAGTCTGGAAACATTATAGCAGGTAAAGGCTCTAGGCCTCTCTGTAGTACTGTCCAGTTGGTCAGGCATGATTCACCTGCTGGAATAACAACTGTGTAGTGAGAGGTGCTTGAATAAAAACAGAATTGACAAGCTTTCATACAATCTAGATGTGGGTTTCCTTTTTGGCCACTAAATACCTGTATTTCGTTGCACAAAAACCCTGTCTGTTACAGGGTGTATGTGACTGAGCAAAGAAATGAGAGCTAGGATTTTACACCCTTCCACAGAATAGGGATAGCTGACCAAGTTGAAACATGGAAATGTTTGACGATGTCCCGATGTTTTGCGATTGTGACACGCGTTCTGGCTTTCAGGAATCGCTAATGAGCAGAAGAAGCTTTATGGCACTCAGTTTCATCCGGAAGTAGATCTCACGGAACACGGCATGGAAATGCTGAAGAACTTCCTGTTTGACATCGCTGGCTGCAGCAACAACTTCACAGTGCAGAACAGAGAAGAGGCCTGCATACGAGAGATCAGGGAGAAAGTGAACATGTCAAAAGTTCTGGTAGGAATCGCAGGAACAGCCTTAAAACATTAGCTGGAAGTTATTTGGATATTGTGTTACAATATCCAAATTCTCAGTTCTCCGTAACATGAAACAACAAGCAGTGGGCAGTACAACACTTACGTTTGTTACTTTTAAAAAATTGGCCTTGTATAATAACTCCTTGAAAGTTGTCATTGCCACTGCAAATTCATGGCATTAATCTTGCTTCCCTGGATAAAGAAAAAGAAGCAGTAGGGGAATGAATGAAATAAAATACAGTTCTATGTTAAATGTGAATTATAATAAAAATAAAGTTTAAATATACACAATGAAGGGAGCAGTTTCAGTCCAGTTTTTACTTAAATTAAGATGATTGAAAGCAGCCCTTGATTCCCCCTTACTGAGGGATCAAAGCTGTGTTAATTCAATATTCTGTTTTAAATATTCGAAAGAGCAACTATACCATTGCTTTAAGTTCCATTCCTATGGTTGCTTTTTAATCTGAAGTGATCCAGTAGAGTTCAGTATAATTCACAAACAAGGGGGTGATAGAAAGTCAAAGTCACGATGCAGGTAACATGATGCAAACAGAACATATAAAATAAAGAACGGCATATGTAAAATTGAATAATATGCATTTTCTCCTGGTGCAAACTATGACATAGTGCCATTTTTAACTGCATGTTATTTTCCTTGCTTCCTTGAAATCGGCTTGATCTCAGGAGACTGAGAGTCATTAGAAATCCTGTTCTTGTAAAATGCTCTGCAGGGGTCTGAGATATCTCTCTGTTCACCAACCTCTGGTGCAATAACTAATTTGTCTTAAAGAGCTTAATATCTTTTCCGATCAACAGTATTTGTTAAAAACCTATACAGTATATGCACACACGCATCACAGACAAATGAGAATATACAGAATATGTGAAAGTGTGCAATTGGAAAAGGTTGCTTGCAGTTCTTTAGTTTAAAAAAAGGTAATCCTTTTAAACTCCTGAAATCCTTTGTTTTTAATGAGCATCAGGTAACGCGTATGCTGTAATGTTTTTTTTCTCCCTTCGAGGAGCTCCACGTGTTAAAAGTGGGGGGTTTAATGAAAGGTGTCGGGCGCTTGCCTTGTGTCTCCAGGTGTTGCTGAGTGGGGGTGTGGACTCCACTGTGTGCACAGCCCTGTTGAACAAGGCCTTGAATCAGGAGCAGGTTATAGCGGTGCACATAGACAATGGCTTCATGAGGAAGAGGGAGAGCCAGACAGTGGAAGAGGCTTTAAAGAAGCTTGGTATCAATGTTAAAGGTAACCGAGGGCTCTTGTATGACTCCGGTAAGAGTATCGCACTCTTGTGTAGCGTGTTCTTCTGACTGCTGTTTCTTTCCTTCTCTGCTTCCTTGTATAGTGGTAAATGCAGCTCATACGTTCTACAACGGGACCACAACACTGCCAATTTCAGAAGAAGACCGAACCCCCAGAAAGCGAATCAGTAAGACCTTAAATATGACCACGAACCCGGAAGAGAAGAGGAAAATAATAGGCGACACCTTTGTCAAGGTTCATATGCATTGTGTTTCCTTGATTTGGAGAAGCTCGTAAGAACAAGGGCTGATGGAGCAGACACAAACAGCAAGTGTTTGGTCATTGGGCCTCTTGTACTGTGCAGTGGTTGATATGTTTAATATTCAGAACGCCGACAGTCACACTGTAAGGGTAGAAGTGTTGTGAATATACGGCAGAATTCCAAATATAAATTCAAGTTATCTTAAATTGACTAGTAAATCAGTGTGACTGAAACTTCTTTGTTTGCATGCAAACACGGAATCTAGTTATTCACATTTTGCCCAATAACCAAATGCCACCCATGTCCATAAGTCTCAGCTGTGCAATATTGTCCAGTACAAGGTGCAGAGAGAATCACTTGCTAGTTTGGCTTTGTTCTCTTTCCTACAAAAGTGTTTCATCGAGAAGTGTGGATTTGCAACAGGATGTAGCACCCTGTGAAATCCCATAGAAAACGTTTTTGTTGAACTTTTTTTTTAAGGTTAACTTTTTCTTGTCCTGACCATTCATTTTAATAAAACTTACCAGCAGTTGGTTTGAATATAATCTAAGCAGAGGAGGGCATCTTATGTTTCAAAGGAGGAAATGGTAAGCCTGGGAGGTCCATCAATGTTACGATTTAGAGGAGGGTTGAGGTTTTTTGTTGTTTCACTCTTGGAGTCGTCCTGAGTCTCTTTCAATTTTGTTTTTCCAGGTTGCGAATGAAGTTATTGGGGAGATGAATCTGAAACCAGAGGAAGTATACCTCGCTCAGGGCACGTTGCGACCTGATTTAATTGAAAGTGCGTCGATCATTGCTAGCGGAAAAGCCGAAGTCATCAAGACGCATCACAATGACACGGAGCTTATTAGGAAGCTAAGAGATGAGGTAACGCTTGGAAAGTGCCTTCCCACCTTGTGTCTCCGTTCTGACACACAGAAGCATGTTATCCAGAGAGAAGAAACAGCATTCTAATCTCATCCAGATGCCAGTTAGTCACTTGAAAGAATGCCATGTAAAAACATTCCTTAACAAATGTTTGTCAGGTTTTCTTTTTACATCTCAGCCCTTGTATAATGTATATCTTGTGTGATTGTTTGAAAGATCCTTCTTCTAAGTTTTTGTATATGTTTGTAATAATATCCAAACTGAAGCCAGAGGCCAAGCTCCTCTCCTTATATCTGGAGAATCAAGTCAGCGAAGAATATGTGAATCGTGTGTAAAAGGCTCCCTTTCTTTCCTGCCGTTCTTGCTGTTTTCACTCCTTTCCGTATTTCTTTCTTTTGTCCCGCGTGTGTGTGAAGTGAAAAGGCAGACTTCCTTGCCCCTGTGTTCACTTCGATACGGGAAACTGGTTTTGATGCAAGAGATCTAATTGATGTTGTCCCGTCTTACCAGGGAAAGGTAATCGAACCGCTGAAGGACTTCCATAAGGATGAGGTGAGAGCCCTGGGCCGAGAGCTGGGGCTGCCTGAAGATATTGTTTCAAGACATCCGTTCCCAGGTAGTGATCCGTCCCCACAAGCACCTGCGCTCTTTCCTCAGTGCGAACGTGTCTGCACGAGAGAGCCACGCGTTCATGTGACGAAGGGCCACTTCTCTTTTCCTCTAGGTCCAGGACTGGCCATTAGAGTGATATGCGCCGATGAACCTTATATTTGCAAAGACTTTGCAGAGACGAACAACATCTTGAAAATAGTAGCCGACTTTTCAGCCAGTGTTAAAAAGGTAAGTGGGCGTTGCTGCTACACCGCTGGCTGTCTGGTCTCTTGCAAAGTGGGCTGTTGCTCTGTGTTTGTTTTGGTGTGTTTGTCTTTGGCGACCACAGGCTGCAGGAAGTCTGGGGAGACCTGGGTGTTCCACTACTGTGGGAGGAAATAGCTGAAAAATGTTCACAGTCGGTGTGAATTGTGCATCCCTACAGTGATGATATATTCCTTTAAAACCTATTTGGGCTAGTCAGGCCCTGGGAGAAATAGCAAAGATTCCTCCAAAAGAACTGACACTTTTAAGTTTTTTTTTGTCAGATTTGAGCAAGGAGATGTTTGAGGTTCAGGAAGTTTTGTAAACTCTGTATTCCCAAACAATTCCCCTATCTATTCTAATTCCCCTTCCACATGTTTCAAGTCACTTTATTTTTAAATAGCATTTACCCCAAATAGAAGTGCTCCTGGCTCTTTGGTTTCTACATTCTTGTGCTTTCTCCCTGGGGATATACTGTGCCTAGCCCCATAACAATGTTTAGACTTTTTAATTGTTTAAGGCTTTCTTACGTCTTGTACTTGCAGAATTAGTGCATTAGTGTCTTTCTCTATTTCTTGTCATTACATGTACAATGCTTTTTGAGGTTAATTCAAGTTTACATCTCCAGCATCCTTTTGTAAATGACAGAGAACTCTCTCTAGGCTCAGATAATCTTGTCTGCAGAAGCTCAGTGGGACTGAGGGGAGTGAAACATGGACGTGTTTTTTTTTCTCATTTTTTCCTCATTAAATTTGGATCTTTGCAGCCACACACCCTGTTACAAAGAGTAAAATCTTGTGTGTCCGAAGACGAGCAGGAGCGATTAATGCAGATTACTAGCCTACATTCACTGAATGCCTTCCTATTGCCAATCAAAACTGTGGGAGTCCAGGTGAGTAATGTGTTTTTTCTTCTTTCTCATTATTTTTACAGACTGTTTTCCATGAGTGTATAGGTTTGTCATCAGCCTGCCAGTAGTAATTAAGTACAATTTAATAGTTTTGATTTGCCGTAATGACTTGGTGTCGGGTAGAAAGAAAAAATATGTAAAGGGCTTGAAATCTTTATCTTATGGTTCCCTCATTCAGTTTGGTAACTAAAATACAGAAAAATTTGATAATTATTTTATCTCCCTTTAATTCATGTCTTCGTCTGTCATGTCAGAGGGCTTTTTCTTCTTTACTTGTAATTGGAACTTGGGTAGCATGCAATACTATATCACTGGTTCCCAAACCCTGCTTGGCTTGCATTTAATTCTCCCAATAACCTCATTTACCTTCCAGTGTGTCTTCACTGATATTTAGAAAAAACATGTGAAGAACTTCACTTTCTGAAACCCAAAACCCATCCATTTCAATGATTTACAAAACTGGTGTATGCTACCCGAAAGTAAAGACCAGAAACATCAAGTCTAAATTGTGACTGCTAACACTTTAGTAGGATTAAAAATCCCAAAATAACAGACGGAAATGGTAACCTTCTGGTGTTAAGCTTAGGTTTAATGAGTCCATGGCTTTCTCAACAAGAAAACAAACTGTGAGGCAACAGTTTCCAGATGATTCTGGCAGGCAGTGCATGAGGCTGCTTGTCATTGTGGTCTTTTCATTGGTCAGCGTCAGACAGGTCATCTGGTTTATCCCAGGTTTATTGCAACAAAGAAACCTTTGACCTCAGCAGTCTAGTCTGTGGCTGAGATGCAGTCAGTGGTGAGCTGTTTGTAAACAACTTGGCAAACATTTTAATACAAACTGTTTTGAGTTCCAGTTAAGACTTTTCATTATAGTTGAGCTCCAGATTGGCATAATCTTACACCTTCCATAACACAAAGCTTTATAGTCCTTTGTCTGCAAGATTTTTAGTAAATCATCCACAATATTCCTGTGAATGATATTTGATATAATATGGGCAAGATGTTTTAATCTTGCCCTTTTAATCCAGTTGGTGCACTGTCTGCATGTTCCTCCAATTAATCAGGTGCAAACCCCTACAGAATGTGACGTCATCTGGTACCGAAGTGGCTGAGAGTGAACAGAATCCTGTAGAACGCAAGAAGGGTTACAAGCAAAGAAGCCATTCAAAATGTGCTCATTTTTTAAAAGCGAACTTGTCTGGGAATCTCATCCAGCTGGTTCTTGAAAGGAGCCAGGGTCCTGACATCAACAACATGGCTCGGTAGCTTCTTCCTGTCTCCCACAGCCCTGCGTGTAAAGAAGTGCTATTCTCCTATTCTCGGTTTTAAATGCACTTCCATTTAGCGTCCACTTGTATTCTCTGGTTTGTGTTTGCCTGTTGGTTGTGGTTCATTTTCACAGGAACAGAAGATTCTGATTCTGAATGCGTTCCGTTCAGCTCACTTTTCCAGGGCCTTTTAGAATTTTGATAGTTGAATTGGGTCCCCTCAGAGCACTGTCTCTCCAAAACTAAAAAGATTTAGTTCTTTCACAAAGTTGTCCAGACCTGCAACTTTTTCCTCCTTGTTCCCCCTGGGTGGGCTGAGCAACGCTGAATGAAAAGCTCCCCGCCACAGCTATGCTGCCTTTCCCTCCATCTTCCTGAAAACTAATGTGGCACTAAAATTAACTGCGAGTCAGACTGCTGGGCATTGGAGGCGGAATTATTCTTGGAAGTCAGAAATGAGAACAGACTGTGTAACCAGCTTCAGCTGTGAACATGCTCGGTTATGTTCCAAAAGTGTTGTTTTAAAATGGAGAAGAAATTTATATTTCCAAAAGATGCTTATTAAGTTAATTAATTAGCATTTATTTGTAATTGACCACAAGGAAAACAAAATTCCTATGGCATAGCTGTTTGCTCACTTGCAGGGAATCTCAGATTTACTGATGTAGGATGCACTGACAGAAATGCAGTGAGTGTCACACACACATGCAGGGTTTACTCTAAGTAACAAGCTGAAAGCATCTTCTACCTGATATCGACTTGTGCTTGGGGACTTGCAGCTCGTTGTAAAAACTGAAATTAAAGTGCTGTGTCCTGGAAGTCTTGTTTCCCTTCCCCCAAACACATCATCATTTCTGTAATTGACATGAGAACATTATGAATGAGAGGAGCATTTGGCTCATCAAGCCCATTTGATTGCTAGTAGCAAAGTGATCCAAGGATGTCATCCAGCCACTTCTTGAAAGAAGCTTAATGATTTCATGGCTGGGTAGTATGTTCCATATTCCCCAAATTCGTTGTGTAAAAGAAATGTCAACTGACCTGACAGGAAGGGGCTTCAGATTTCGTCATGAGACTGAGGAGTGGGGCAATGTAGTGAAGTGTATCTGCGAATCGCTTTCGAAAGTTGCAGGTCAGGGCTGATTAATGTCACATGTTTAGTGCACCTTGGGTTATTGCTTCTGAAGAATCGATACCTTTTTTTTCCCTGAGAAATCTTTAGCAGAAAATCCTTTTCGAAAACAGGCCAGGGTTATTGCAGTACTAATAAAATGACCTTTTAGGTCTTAAAAAAACAAAATCTGACTTTGTAAAATGTCAGGATAATTTCACAGTTGTGGTTTTTCAGGAGAGGAATGGAACGGGGGTGGCCTGCTTCCTGAGCCAGGTATTGGCAGGACTGGAGAGGAAAACATGCTGGGGCATTAGTGAGGCAAGGGAAACACCCTGTGGCTGCCCAGCCTTCAGTTTTTCTTCCCGCTGAAACATGGTCCTTCCTTAGGCCTCAGTAAGCAAGTCCTTTTTCATTTCTTGTCCAGGGGGATTGCAGATCGTACAGCTATGTGTGTGGAGTTTCCAGTAAAGATGCCCCTCACTGGGAATCTCTCATATTTTTAGCCAGACTCATCCCACGCATGTGTCACTCAATCAACAGGTACGGTTCGTCCTCTGCCAGCTGGGATATGAGTTGTTCCTCTGTGCTTTGCTTAGCTTGGTGTGAAATACGTTGCATTTGAACTCTGAAGTCTGATGGTTAAGTTAACTTACTTATTGCATTATACTAGCTGCCTGTGCTAAGTGGTAAACGTTTGCCAGCACAACGTAAGGAAGAATGCTAGTACTATGGAAATCAAATAGGTCTGCAGAGATGTAAAGGTGCTTCAGTTGTTTCCCTGTGCTACATGTTCTCTACATTGACAGGCTTTTCAGGCTTTGTGAAGTTTTGGTCTGCAAATAGTTGTCCTAGTTTTAAAAAAAGCTGTTATTTTTTTTCTTCCCTTGCAGAGTCGTGTATGTGTTTGGACCACAAGTCAAAGAGCCTCCTACAGACATCACCCCCACCTTCTTAACGACGGGGGTCCTGAGCACGCTCAGACAAGCTGATTTTGTCGCCCACACTCTCCTTAGGGAGTCAGGTGAGATCTGGCGCCCACTGCTCTCGGAGGCCCTCATGGTGCAAATAAAGGATTTTACTCGCCCTGCGTGAAATTTTAAAACTTGTCAGCCCTCAGTGGTATGCATTGTTTCCTTAATGGTATGCAATTCATTATGATCTTTGTATGCTGTTGGGGGAGGGAAAGGTTTTTATAAAGAAGCATGTAATTCTGCGAGGGTGAAACACCAAGATGAGGGCGCAAACAGAAACTAGATGGAAGTGCATTTAAATAGGAGAGAACAGGAGGCATCTCTTTCCCCAGAGGGCTGTTGGAACAAGCTACCCAGCCGTGCTGTTGAAGCCGACACCCAAGCTTCTTTCAAGAAACAGCTGGCTGAGACTCGGATCGATTAGCTACCGACTACCAGACAACCAGGTCCTCCTCCTCTCGTTTGTAACCTTCGTAAAGTTCTTCACAATAACTGCCTCCATAGGCTTCTCGGGGAAAATCAGCCAGATGCCCGTTATCCTGACCCCTCTGCACTTCGATCGGGACCCGCTCCAGAAGCAGCCCTCGTGTCGCAGGTCCGTCGTCATCCGCACCTTCATCACTAGTGACTTCATGACCGGCATCCCTGCCACGCCGGGCAACCACATCCCCGAGGAGGTAAGGGCTCGGGGGTCCCCGCACTTCCTGGGGGTCTGCGGGCTGGACCGCGGTGTGTTTGTCTTCCAGCCTTTGTCGGGGTCAAGCTTTGACCTACCCTTCCTCCTCCTCGGCTTGGCTCGCTTGCCAGTCCTCGGCCCTCCCAGCTGGCCTAGGCTTTCCCAAAGTGCCGGCGCACCCCCTGCCAAGCACATTTGAGCCACGGAGCATCACTAATCTCTTGGAAGCCCCCCCCCCCAAGATGTGCAACTGATAATGAATTTCTCAAGACTGACGTTGTTTGTCTCTCCCTGCTTTCCTCTTCCCTTCCCAGGTGGTCCTGAAGATGGTGAACGAAATCAAGAAGATTCCCGGGATCTCCAGAGTGATGTACGACCTGACCTCCAAGCCCCCAGGGACCACGGAGTGGGAGTAAGGCTGTGGTCCGGTGGTGGCCGGTGCCTTCAGGCTACCCTCTGAAGAACATTCCCAGTGTTGACAGGCAGTACTGTGACAAGCGGGCACTGATGGCCGCTGCATCACACCAGGTCTTTCTCCCCTTTCCCTCCCCTCGCCCCTCCCCTCTCTGTGGCCTCGATCTTGAAATCTCCCCACGTCTGCAGAGGATCACAGTCGTTGGTGCTTGAGCATCCCTACGGGTAACGCAAGGCGCAGCATCAGAGAGCAGCAAAGCAAAAGGGGGTCTGAGTGTCTTTTGGCCTTTGTAGTCACTTCTGTTGCTTTTCCCCCTCCCCCATGTTTATCATTTGTTCTTGACTGTCCGTTTGCTTGCACAGTGCTAGTTACCACCACTATATCAAGGAAGCGTTAGGGATGTGACCAATTTATTTTTAACCATTTAATGTATGTCTTGCCAAAACATGAGAAACTAGTGCAATTGTCCTGGTTCTATTTTTTTTTGTTGTTGTTGTTTTCAAGGAGTTCGTCGTATTTATACGGGGCTTAGAGCAGTTGAAAGAAATCTCATCGGGTTTTGTTTTTTTTTTAAATGAGGGGCATCCTGAGACAGGATGTTAGTGCCTGTTCCCTTGAGGGAAGATCGCAGTCTGCCGCTTGCACTGCCTTGTAAGTGCTTTTGAAATAAATGAAAAAAAATGGGGAGAAGAGGGGGTAACAGTCAGTGCAGTTTCTGTCCTTATAGAGATGTACATCCTCAAAAGTGCAGGAAAGTTTCAGCATTGTATACAGAGTAACTTTGCAAACTGTGTTGTTCTGTTCTGCCAATTTCTTGGGGGCTTTGGAGTGGAGTCGCAGGATATTGTCAAGATATTCTGTGTCCTTGTGGATTTGACGGTGGGAGGCAGAAATAGTTCTGAGTTTTGTTTCAAGATGTTATTCTGTCTGTGCAGTAGCCTGCTAGTTATAATTTTGTGCTGCTCCAGAAGTATATTGTGTCACCTGCTCCTTTTAAGGTATTTTTTTGTTGCAGTTGCTCTGCATTGAGTAAAAATCTCATTTCAGCTGGTTGAAAGTGAGGTTGAAAAACTGTTTACCAGGGATATTCCGTTAATCAGGCCTTTGCAGGCTACTATTCTGGCTCAAAATGTGCAAGGCAGACGATTTTATTGTAATCTCAGAGCTATTTATTTCTTTTTTCTTTTGGTTCAACTGTTCTTCTGATATTGGCAAAACTGAACAATGCAAGATCAGATTCTTCTGTGTCTTAAATGCAAAATGTTCATACAGTTCTGTCGTTCACTTTTTTTTAATGTATATTTTACATAACATCCTCTTAGGAAACAACAGCTTGTAACTAATGGATGTTTATTTTGGTAGTTGGGTTTAATTGCAATATGAAACCAATTTTGAGCTTAATTTATGCAATCCCATGTATGACAGACTCTCTAATGTTTTTTAAAGAAACATTTGCTTTTTCCTTAGTAATGTGCCTCAAAAAGAAAAGGTCCACTGCATGCAGTTTCAACATCAAAATTTGTATAATGAGAAATAAGCTTTAATAAATAAGTCCATGTTAAACCTTGAGTGGTTTTGTTTTTCTTTCCAGTTTCCTGGGGGATCGATTAAAAACACTGTTCATAAGCATACAGTGGATATAAAAAGTCTACACACCCTTATTGAAATTACAGGTTTTTGTGGTGTTAGCCAGAAAAACAAGATAAAATCATGTTGGACATTTTTGCATCTTTAATGTGACCTTGCAACCAACAAAAGGGAAGAGAAAAACAAATAGATAATTATTAGGAAAAAGAATTGAAATACAAAAACCTACAACACCCTGGTCGCATAAGTGTGCACACCCTTTTATAACGGGGGCTGTAGCTGTGTTAAGAGTAAACCAATCACGTTCAAAATCATGTCCGAAGGTAAGTAGCATACACCTGCCATCGATGAAAGCGATCCCGATTAACCCCAAATAAAAATCAGCTGTTCCTGTAGGATTTCCTTGGACTGTTCGTGTTTGCATCCTACTGGGATAGCCATGGTCCGCAAGGAGCTGCCAAAACATCTACGGGGTCTTATTGTGCAAAGGTACCCATCGGGAGAGGGGTGTAAAAAGAATATCAAAGGCATCGGATGTCTTATGGCCTGGTGAGACAAAGGTTGAACATTTTGGCCTTAATTCTTAAAGACGTGTTTGCCGCAAAGACAACACAGCTGTCACTGTTGCCACTCAACCATACCTACGGTAAAGCACGTTGGTGGCAGCATAATGCTTTGGGGCTGCTTCTCTTCAGCTGGGACCGGGGCTCTAGTCAAGGCAGATGGGATAACGACTAGCTCCAAATATCAAGATATTTGTGACACAAAACCTGCTGGCCTCTGTCGGAAAGCTGTAGATGATGAGAAATTCCACCTTCCCCCATGATAACGACCCAAAGCACACATCCAAGTCAACCAAGGAATGGCTTCAGAAAAGGAAGATCAAAGTCTTGGAATGGCCCAGTCAGAGCCCAGACCTCATTCCCATAGAAAACCTGTGGAATGACCAAGGGAGGGCCTGGCAATATGAAGGAGCTTGAACTTTTTTGCAAGCAGGAGTGGGATAAAAATGCAAAGTCCTGGTGTGAAAAGTTGATAGAAACTTATTCACGAAGACTTACTGCTGTAATAAGTACAAAAGGTGTTACCACAAAGTATTAGTTGGGGGTGTGTGCACACTTATGCAACCAGGGTATTGTAGGTTTTTTAATTTCAATTATTTTTCCTAATAATTATCTATTTGTTTTTGTCTTCAGTTTTGTTGGTTGCAAGGTCACATTGAAAATTGAAAAATTTCTGACACGATTTATCTTGATTTCTTTATATCCACTGTACCTGTATTCCTAATTTATTTAATATTCATTTTCAGAGTAAAATATAATTGCTAATCATTTTTTTCTTGTTCTTATATTGGCTTATATCCTTTGTCATTCCAAATATATATCACTATATATACAGTATACCTACTTGTGACATGACAAAATGAATGGACGTGTTATGTTCATACTGTAGGTTTATAGACCTTATGTATTCTGTTTAAAATACTGCAGGCGGATACCAGTTAATATGTTCATAATCTCTGTCAAAAAAACAGCAGTCACATTTAGCTAATATTTCACTGCTGTTACATTCTCCTCCGGGGGAATAAACAAGCTCTGCAATGTACAAAATATAACTTGAAAACCATTAGCTGTATTTTTCTCCTCAGTATTCTTAAATGATACGAGCAGTCCTCAGGTCAATTTGAATTTAATTACAGAGTTGTTAGAAATAATTGCTTCGCATTATGCCATTTAATTTTCTGTGAATGCCTTGGTTAGCCGTGAATAGAGCCTGTCGCTCTATTGCAATTGACTGCTACAGCCTCTGGAGGCTGGTTTCATGAGTTCGCTGATCTTCACACGCTAACACATTAAATACATTGGAGTCCTTAGTGGTTATGACATCAACCAACTGGGGTTTTTCTTCTGAAAAGGCCCTTTCTTCGAAACACTATCTTACCATTCCCCACACATATGCTATGTATACTAGTTTGTAAGCATTATACAGCTCACGTTCATTAGCACATTTGGCAGGAAGGTTATCTCAATAGTCTGACAGGAAAGTTAATGCTGGGCTTCTTAAAGTTGGGTGTTGTATGGTGGTGGGGGAAGGGGGCTTTCCGGCTCCCTCTTTGCTTGATTTAACACGGCCCCTCACATGTTGTCTCATGAGGTGCTGGAGACCAGCGATGGCAACTTTCGAAATTGCTGTTGAGCTTGAAGCGTTGTTTTTGTCACTTCGGCCCTGAGAATTGGAAAGCTAACAGGAGCAATCATCGTCTTCACTGAGCTGATTTAAACGTGTATCCTCTAAGCACTTAAGCTGTTTAATGTAGGATTTCGAAACTGATTTCCCCTATTGCGCTTTTTCTTCCCCTGTGGCCCCGGGCCTTCTTGACAATTGCCACGACACCAGTTCGCGTGCCGTCATTTAAACGGCGGGGCAGTGCAGAAGCCTGTCGCCGAGGTGGTTCCAGTGAGAATGCCGATGGGACACACGCTCTGCCTGCTGCTGTTGGGCCTGCCGAGCGTGGCAGCAGGCGGCACCAGGGAGTCCAACCCAGCCTGCAGCCTCCCGGAGCACACTTTGCCGGGCATGACCAGGCAGGGGGATGTCCTGATAGGTGGGATATTCCCTCTTCACCGCACCCGAGACTCCGTGGATCTGAGCTTGGCCACTGAGCCGCTCCCCTTGTCTTGTGACGACCGGTAGGTGAGATCCGTGCAAGAAGCAGCGAGCAAGCAAGGTTTCCAGCAGTTTTGTGTGACCAGTAGAGCCAAAATCTTCTCACTTTGAAGTTTTAAATGTGGGTGGACTATGCACTACACCTTACAATTTAAAAATTGATTATAGAAACATCTAGAATAGAATCCTCTAGTTTTTATAGAATCTCGGGGGGAAAAACAGATCTCATTGTCTGTTATTAAACCGAACATTTTGCTGAGACTGATGTTACTTCTTAACTAACACTGAGAGTGCTTCGATTCTTTTTCTCAGCCATATTGTTTCTGGTTTTTTTTTCCTCCGCTTGGTTTTCAGGTTCGACCTGCGGAGTTACCGGTGGCTTCAAGCCATGAAGTTTGCCGTAGAGGAGATCAATGCCGATGAACATCTGCTGTCCTCGCTCAAGCTGGGTTATTCTATGTACGACACCTGTGACAGCGTCACCAAGGCAGTAGAGGAGATGTTTGCTCTGGTAACTGGACAGGACACCTACGTGCCCAACTATAGGTGCCAGATGAACATGTCTTTAGCAGCAGTGATAGGAGAGTCATCCTCTACCATCTCCATGGTGATGGCCAGGATTCTGGGAATTTATCAGTATCCTCAGGTAAAAAACGTCAGTGGAATGCTAGAACCAGTGGCTGAGCTGTTTTTCTTGTTTTCCCAAAATGCATAGTATTTTAGTAGTATCTGAAAACACAAACTGAGCTATTACTTTATGCATTTTTCTCAAATATTGATCTTTCCTATGATTTTATTCATTGTCTCATAGTGGAATAGTTAATCAGTTATTTATATATACCCTTCAACCTTTATAGATTCTGATAGAAATTATTTTTACTGTTACAGACCTCCGTTAGCTAAAAAGGATCTGTAGTTTTTAAGCTTTTTTTTTAATGTTTGACCTTTTCCTGAAATACGAATCGGTTCAGATTGTCTTTGCTGCTCCTTGTGCTTTATGGATCAATCTAACTAAATTTTCTTTACATCGGTGAAACAACGAGAAGTCGCACGATCCAGGCTTGTCCTGCGTGTCAGTAGAAACTAAGAGGAATCTGTCTTCCTTAACTCCGTAGATCAGCTACTTTTCCTCCATCCCTGTCCTGAGTAATAAACACGAGTTCCCCTCCTTCCTCCGGACCATTCCCAGCGACAATTTCCAGTCCAAAGCTTTTGCCTACGTGGTCCGATATTTCGGATGGAAGTGGGTGGGAACCCTAGCTGAAGACATCGCCTACGGCATTCAGGGAGTGCAACTCTTCACCGAGAAAGTGAAAGAATTTGGCACGTGCATCGCCTTCTCCGAGAGAATCCCAGTTGTCTACTCCCGGGAAAGGTACGTCCGAGTCGTGGAGGTCATCAAGAACTCTCGAGCAAAGGTGATAGTCGTGTTCTCCGGAGAGACCAATATGATCCCCTTGGTGGAGGAGGTTGCCAGGCAGAACATGACCGGAATTACCTGGCTTGCGAGCGAGGCCTGGAGCACGACTACCTACATCGTTGCCAAAGACCAATCCGCATACTTCAGCGGGACTCTGGGGTTCGCCATTCCCACGTGCACAATCCCAGGCTTTGATTCCTTTTTAGCTAGGCTGCAGCCTCTAAGCAGTGCAGGAGATATTTATGTAAAGGAGTTCTGGGCCAACTTTTTTGGCTGCACCTGGGCCTCAGCGGCCGAAGGGGCGAGTCGTGCAGGCAGGCCTCTCTGCACTGGGAAGGAAAGACCCTCGACAGTTGGCAACATCTTCTTTGATACCGCGAATCTCAGGATCACTTGCAATGTATACAGTGCAGTATATGCAGTCGCTCACGCCCTGCACAACCTGCTGTCTTGTCAAGAGGGCAGAGGCCCGTTCAGGAATGGGACCTGCGCAAAGGCTCGTGACTTCGAACCCTGGCAGGTAAGATTGTGCTGGAGGGTGAACTTCTGGCGAGAGTCACCCATTGCGGGTCGAAGCAGGGGACTTCAAGGTTTTCTGCGAAAAAATTGAAAAAACATTTTGATGTCCTGTGCCTTTCTGGCTTGAGTGCATTAAATTACAATAAAAATAAATCTATTTTTTTCTACTGTTTTTTTCATGTAACTTGATTTGAATACACAAGTTCATTGTGGATCTGTTTTGCAATTCCTGAAGTGATTCCTACGTGGCTGCCAAATATTAATTAAAATGTAGACTCTAATTATGTGCTTCAGTAATTGTCACATTTCTAAATATCATTTTCATCTTTTGCAATACCTATCAGTAGACCACTTTTTGAACACACTTACGGATCTTTCTGTTTATTTGACCAGAAAACCTTTCTTTACAGGTATGATCATTTCGCAAAAGTAATGTCACTTCTCCTGCATCCAGTAAGAGTCCTGTAGACCGAGGGATCCTTTACTCTTTGTGGCTTGGACATGAGTCCTAGATAGGAGCATATTGAAAATAGCGCAGTAAATGTCTTTCACCACAGGAGTATCTTTTTTTTTTTTTGACAGCTGTTACACTATATGAAGAATGTGCAGTTTGTTGACCGAACAGGACGGAAACTGTATTTTGATGAAAATGGGGACACTGTGCCCAAGTATGATATTATCAACTGGCAGCAGGAGGCTGATGGCTCTATAGTGGTGAGGAGAGTGGGTTGGTATGATGGCAGCCAAAAGGGACAGGAGCTCCGGATTGATCAAGCCTCCATCATCTGGAATGGAAACAAGAGAGAGGTATTGAAGAATGCTGAAATATTTTTATTTATGTTTTATCTGACCTGGGAGAATCAGTAGCTTGCTTTTTAAAGTTAGCTCCTGCGTAATGTACGTCCCACAGACGAGAAATAAAAACAGAAAACTGGAAAAAAAAACAGACGCAAAAGCCAAGTAGAGGTTTTTCGGCTCATTATTGATACAGGGCTCCAAATTTTAGTTTAATTAAAAAGGCAAATGTGCCTCTTCTAATACATTTTGCTCATTTAATTTTTTATTTCACATTAAATCAATTTCAAGCCTGATTTGTAAAGCCTTGTTTCTTATGTGTCACAATTCTGGATGAACTTTTGCTGAACTGGATGAGACTTTGATCATACAAAAGTTGTGTTGTTTCTTTCAAGCTCCCAGTCTCAGTCTGCAGTCAGAGCTGCCCTCCTGGTACAAGACAGAGCATGAAGCAAGGAGAGCCCATCTGCTGCTTTGATTGTGTGGAATGCCGTGATGGGGAGATCTCTAATGGGACAGGTTGGTAGCATTCCCTTACCTTCTGGCTTGGATTTCATGTGAATGGTACTGTTTTATCTGCTCAAGGTTCTGAAAACAATTTTCAGCCTTATGTGACGTCGTACTCTTGATCTGTAAGTTCAAAGGGCGAAAACACAAATGGATGTCCTATTGTTGTACAGACTTGTGCTCCTTCCTTTATCAGAGAGCCTTCCTTTATGATGATTTCTTGAAAGGGGGCTATATAAAATAAATCTTGAATAAGCATTGTTTTTTCCACCAAAGACCAGAGGTTTGGAAAATTAACCAGAGTTTGTCCAGAGTTATGAAATACATATACTAAATATTGTGCTGGACTAAAAGGTTCTTGCTGTCTTTGTGACCCAGGCTTTTCCTGAACACAACTGATCATTAACACACCCAAGTGAAGCAGGATGTCATGTTTCAGCATATGGTCTTCAAGACAACAGGAAGACCATCAAGGGGTGGAAACTTGATGCCTTTAAGCATTTCATTGAACTTGTGCATATGACAAATAAACTGAACTGCGAAATCGGTGCTGCTTGCAGATTTTCATTGTCAGTTCCTCTTGTCACAAAGACATGACATTTGCGTAGGGTCCTGAAAACATGACTGCTGATGAAAAGGACATCATATTTGTGGCTGGAAATGTGTGTAGCTTGTGATATAACAACAGCGGTGTAAGTGAAAGCTTCACACTTGGGATGCATCACCAAAGGATTGAATGAATGGAAAAGTTCAATAATGAACTGCAAAATAGCTACTGTAAATTACATGAGAACAAACAGGAATCCACAAATAACAGTAACCCAGGAAGGATGCACTAAATAATTATTTGACCAGACAAAACAAATTATGGCACTGAAACAACATAACCTGGTCCTTTTCTGTTCTTGTGTCACTCAATAATATGCTTTTTATTGGCTGGAAATAAGACTCCCTTTACATCGCAGTTCGATCTGCTCACGGTTTGATGACTTGTACAAATTGAACTGACAAAGCAGGAAAGCATTTTTTTTGTAATAGTTCCACACGATCTGTCTATGCAAATGTATTCCAAAAAAAATTTTAAATCTGAAATGGAACAAATTGCTATGCAACTGGAGTCTCATTCCCTGCCCTGGCTTAAGAATTTTCTTGCTGCTACAAAGAAGTCATAACGTCCTGCACTGTTGACTGAATTGCCAGCAGTAACGACTTTATGCTTCTAGGTTCTCTTCCTGAATACTAAGTGTGTAAGAAGGGATTTTTCTTGAGGTAAGGCTGAAGGGAACTAAAGTGACTGGAGTGCATTCGCACTGGGACTGCATTAGGATTAGGACTGACTGAAATAAATTTAGTTTCAAATGCTCTTGTAAAGTACTATATACTTCCTCAGGACAAGTGAAGACTAGTATCAAGTTGCAAATACATGATTGGTGTCTGTCCATTTCAAATCTGTCCAACAGCAGGTACCTAAACTCCTGCGTGCTGCTTACTTGCTGCTTGATTCAGTGTTATTTTACTGAAGATTTTACAGAATGCATCAAGTGCCCTGCGGACTACTGGTCCAACGAGAAGAGGGACGAGTGTGTGCCGAGACAGATGGAGTTCCTGGAGTTCAGAGAGCCGCTGGGGATCGTGCTGACCGTCCTGGCTGTGCTCGGTGCTGTGCTGGCGGTTTCCATCACTGGGGCCTTCGTGAAGCACAGGGACACTCCACTGGTCCGGGCCAACAACCGGGAGCTCAGCTTCCTGCTCCTCGGCTCGCTGGCCCTTTGCTTCCTCTGCGCCTTGACCTTCATCGGGGAGCCCAGCGGAGGCGTGTGCGTCCTCCGCCAAGTGGGGTTCGCCGTGGGTTTCGTGCTCTGCATATCTTGCATCCTGGTGAAGACCATCGTGGTGCTGCTGGCCTTCAGGATGACCGCGCCCAACCGGAACGTCATGAAACGCTTCAGGCCTGTGCATCAGCGGGCTGTCGTGATGGTGACCACTTGCGTCCAGATTGCGATCTGTGTGGGTTTTCTCCTGTCCTCCCCGCCGTCTGTTCACAAAAACAGAGAAGCCGTGATTCCCAAGATCTTTGTGGAGTGTGACGCAGGCTCTCCGTTAGCTTTATTCTGTGTCCTGGCTTATACGGGATTCTTGGCTGTTATTAACTTTGGTTTAGCTTTCCTCGCAAGAAATTTGCCGGACAATTTCAACGAAGCTAAATTCATCACTTTCAGCCTGCTGGTGTTTGTAGTAGTATGGATCACTTTTATTCCAGCCTATATCAGCACCAAAGGGAAGTACCTTACAGCTGTGGAAATATTCGCTATTCTGTCCTCCAGCTTCGGGCTCCTGGTCTGTATTTTCTTTCCAAAGTGTTATGTCATTTTGATCAGGCCAGAGCTCAATACCAAGAATAAACTCATCGGGCGGGACAGCAAGGGTGGATTTTAAAATGTCTTTTTTCAAGGTTGACCGACGGTATACTCCTGAAATAGCACTCATCTTTAGAAGCCCAGACTTTTTGTACAGTGACCCGAAATGCTTTTATTTCTTTTTTTAAATGCCATTGTACAGCAGATACATACTGTGAGCAATTTTGTTTTCCCAGCTACAAAAAAAAAGATTTTTGTAATAGTGTTCCCATTTATAATAAAATTGTTTGGTTACTGTTAGGTAAAATGATATCCTTCTTGAATTATTGTCAATGTTTATGCTTCCTAAAATAAAAGCACATAATACATTGGGTGTCTCTTTGCAATTAATGGCACTATCTCAACATATTTAGCTTCAAATCATGCTGAAGTGCGACATGATATTTAGAGAAGATATCGGTAATTTGCCTAAAAGCAACATGAAATACACAGCCGTCATCAGCGACATTTTTTTCCTTAAATAAGTCTTTCAAGTAGTTCCAATCCGCTTTAGACCTTGCTGCGTACCATTTACATATAGTGCACACATTTTTGTTGATCTTTTGCATCAACAGATCTTTTTTTTACTAGCTGTGAATATGCAGGAGACGACTTCATTTTTACAGAACACGGCATTTCATCGGATGTGGAATTTGCCTCTTTAATAAGAGAAGAGCAGTAACTGATTTATCATACCAGACCGTACATCCTGTGACAAGAATGTGGTTGTCACACTTCTGCTAATAGCAGATGAGCATCACAGGAGTCCAATTAAAGAGGTTCTCTCTGTGGTAAAGACACTGTTTGCATTTAGAAAGCTAATTGAGTCAACATGTGCTTTAATAGTATACAGTATGTACTGCGTAATGAGAATACGAAGGTCAATTAGATTAAAGTCAGTCATTCATATCAGATATCTTTTCATCTAGGGGTTTCATTTATAGTCCTTACTTAAATCATAATGTACTGCAGTTTGCTGACATACATTTGTCCCCATGAACACTAGAATTAAACCTTATTCTCAACAAAAAAGGTCAGATAATGAACTTCACGATAAATAAAATGAACTCTTGGAATCTAAATGATGTATTTCACACTCATGGACCCTGGGTCTTAAAAAAACCTTCCGTTACTTCTAAAAAAAAGCGCTCTTTTGATTTTAACAGTATTAACTTCAGGAGCGAGTTTGAAGTTAGGAACTAAAAGCCTGACACGAGGGTGCTGCTACTTCTGTTATCACACATTTAATCTGGAATTTTGGGGGTAAAAAGTATCCATTTATAAGTTTTGACTCAAATATGTATTTTTTAACTTGCGTATAAATTAATCAAATACATGTATAGTTTATAAATATGTATGCATTGTAATATTTATTTTATAAACTGGTATTAACCAAATTTCGTTACTAGAGTTATTAAGAATTTAACCTGAGATGAGATTGACCATTGCACTGCTCAATCACTGATTCACCTCCTAATAGCATTGTAGAGGAAAACAAACGTCGTGGAGCTGTTGCGCGGGGTGGGACTGGCACACGCAGTCCGACAATCCCTGCCTGTACGAGCGCTGCTCCGCCTGCATCTGCAGACAGTACCGGGGCTCCATCTAGCGGTGACAGCGGTGAATAACAATGGGAAAATACCTGATGTCTGCGAACGTGCTTAGGACCTCACGCCGGCAAAACATCAGGAGTTTTGCATTTAAAAGCGAATAACATCTCTGCATATATATATATAATAAACATATGATAATGAAGTCAATTACTATAATTAATAGAATAACTGGTGCTAAAAAAATAAGATACCATCCCGGCTTCTCCCTATTCCGACGTTCAGTGGAAAAAATAATTGATGAAGACCCTTCGGAGAGACCCTTACTAAACAACAGAGACCCGCCTATTGCATCAGCTCTCTGGCTCGAATGTGCAACACGATTGCTCATTCTGCGTCAGCCGCGCACGCGTCAGGATGAGCGCCTTCTCGCGCTGGGGGCTCTGTCAGCCCCTGTTATTAAACTCGGCGCAGCTCGCGCAGCTCCAGTGTGTGTCTGCGCCGCGCTCCTGCGTGGATCCGTGTGCTTGCATCGCTACAGCCAGGACCTACAAAAGAACAAGCTGTTTCAATCAAGCAAGCAAGCACACACACTGGAAAACATTTTAACTGAAGGATATATACCCCCAAACTAATAATAATAATAATAATAATAATAATAATAATAATAATAATAATAATAATAATAATAATAATAGAACCTTTCATGTCAGTTCCAAAAGCGATCTACTAAATAAACGTATTTGCCGCACCATGCAAAAAAAACATATGAGGCTTCATTATTTTGTCAGATTTTGCTATACAACAAAGCACACCCTAGATCTTCACAAATAACAAATGCCAAGAACCAAAATAAAACGTGAACGTACTGTGTGTATGAGACCCCACATTTAACAATAAAATCAATTTTCTTAATTAACAGAATGATAGTATTTCCAATCTGTCACGCAAACGTGCAGATTTGAAACATTTGCAATGTCTTGGACGAACGGGTTGTGTTGTACAATAAACCCCACCATAAAAAGTAACACTCTACATCGATACATATTAAACATGTGTCATTTAATTGTTACAGGTTGGTTTGATACCGCAGACCGTCTTTAGAAGAAGTTCGGAACAAGTTTGCACTTCAAAGAATACTTTCTGCAGTTTCATAAAAGTGGTTTGATGATTGAAATGGACGCTAATTGCTTAATTTAATTTGTTACCAGTTAATAAGCTCTGTAGCGCCTGCAGCTATCATTCCTGCCCAGTGGGAAAGATCGGAGCACAGAGGCGCTCGGGCGCACTTGTTTTTGACTCGGGGTTCAGGTGTTCATTTCAGATCATATTGAAGGGCATGTAGAAACAGGTTCAATGTGTCAACAACAGCCTGGAGAATTCTACTGACACGACAGCTCGTCGTGTCGGTGTAAACACGCTGTCAATGCAAGACGCGCAAGTAAATCCACAATTAAAATCACCTTGTGGGACGGGGGGCCCTGAAGTTTGCCCCTTGTCTTCGAGCTGTCTCGGCTGACTTTTCGAGCAATTAAAATCACTCTCTGTTTTTCCAGCGTTGATTAGCTTATATTTCCCGGGGCTCTTTCAAAGCGCAACAAGTTTGATCGCTTCACTATTTTGTTGTCTCCTTGAAGCAGAGAACAGGAAAAGCAGCCGAAGTCGCTGCGTTTTCTCCTGCCGAGGCGGGTGGTGATGTGTTCGGCAAGGTTTTCCTGCTCTTCCGTGGTAAGAAGCAGTGAAGATCTAACAAGCTCACTATTAAAGTATTCCCCTAACATCGCACAAACGTATAATAAAATCATATCAACTCATGCTTTGTGTTTTTTTTTCTCCTGAATTTCGTTTGGGCCACAAAATCTGAACCCCTGGCTGCAAGAACAGTACTTTCCACAGTTAAACATGTAATAAGGGGAAAACCATGAGCCATTAACAGCTAACGGTTTAGGGGGCTATAGAGAGCAGTAGAGAGTTGTTGAAAATTGCATGTTAAACATTCACTTCAGCATCCCAAACTCTATATTGTTAATATCCGTTTTATTCGTATCTTTATAAAACTCACACAAAGAAATGTATTCGCCTTCACGCACATTTGCTGTAACGAGCTGTTTTGTCCTGTTTTCTTATGCAACATTCGAGAGGCGATCCCCTGAGGTCTGCAGTAGGCTGCAGTTCAAAGAATACCTGCTCCTTCAGTTCAAACACCCATAGGAGTCTTAAAAGCTTTGGTAAGGTTTTCTCAATCATTTTACTATACGAATATGGATTTACCGGCCGCTAAACGGAAAGTTCACTTCTTGCTCGGATTATGCCTGCTTTTTCAAGTATTTGCCTATCTTTCTGCCGAGTCTACCTGTAAACTCAAAGCAAAATTCAACCTCTATGGATATAAAAATATTGAAAAAAAGAAGGTTATTGTTGGAGGGATGTTCCCTGTGCATTTCAGACTGGCGTCTTCCAACTCATCAACTTCTTCAGTACCACAGTCTTCTGACTGTGAGGGGTGAGCGCTTCAGTGGTCATTTTTCACAAAGCTGTGTTTTGGCTGTGGTCAGGTGCGCGGTGGTTTCTAGACTGAGCTTAGGAGAACTGACCGGTGGCGCAATGTTAGTGACTGAATGAAAGTCGGGGGGAAAAAAGACAGTTTTGTTTTATTCTAGAATAATTTTTAAAGGGTGAAATGCGTAATTGTTATAGTAAAGCATGTATTCAATCTGTGAAGGGCGTTCCGTTACAGTGGTGAAAACAAACTGCTGCGTTTACCGGTGTATGAATGGGATTGGTGTAAAAGTGCGTTTAGAACAGAAACACGATTTTTACTCTTCAATTAGACTGAAGTTCTATTAAAGGAGTTCATCCTTAATTTTTGTGTGTATACCTGATGAAATCATAGTTTAGTTTATAACCCACCCCCCCCCAAAAAAAAAATATATATACTTTGATACTTTGTGTGTATTGATATTCTTAAAAGTAATTGTAGTGACAGTAGCACAGCTATTTTTATTTTTTGGATATTTTTTAAAATCTTAGATTAAAATGCTCATGTTTAATCTACTGTGGTGTTCCTAGCTGAAACAGTAATTGATGGCGACTCTCTCACAACATCACGAGAATATGATTCTTATGCTGCTTCCTTAATTATTTATACTTTTAAATTAAGCTGCAGCACCATGCTGCAAGGCAACAACTGAACAGCATAGACCGCACCGTCTGATTTGTAGGCTCCTGGCTCCTCCTCCGAAAGAGACGTCCTCGAATTAAAGTGGAGCTAAGGCAAGGGGCAGGGTTTACTCATCTTGGTTTATTTTTCCTTTGTGTTGGCCAATGAAATAGCAGCTTGTGGCATCCCTGAACTCCGTGTCACAACAGCTATTTTATAGTGGCCTTTGGACAATAATAATCGGATTTATATTTAAAAACTGAATAGATATTCCAGCCCGTAGTTATGTATGATTTATTTGTGTCTAACTATTGAGTTGCAAACCCCTTCTCTCCCAGTAAAATAGCACTTAGCATCATTACATCGTGGTGAAAGATTCCTTCTGTTCTTGCTACTGTAAGTTCTATACTCTTTACTGCCCTCTAGCGACAGTCTGTAGACCGAATTAATTTCTCCTGTCAGGCTTTCCTTCTGGCTGCTGATGAAAGGATACTTTCATTAAACAGTCATCACCGAACTATTATAATTATAAGATTTGTATTAGTTACACGAAAGTAGTGAAAGCAACAAGGGGTAAAATAGTTTTTTGTTTTTAGTATGTGTTATTAATTTTGGTAAAAAGTACAAGAATGGATATCCTATGGCTCTTGAAATCTCATTCCCCCCTTTCTCAAGCTATACAGAAATAAATACTGTCAAAAACAATAAGTTCCATAAAACAAGTACCACTGCTACAGTTCTTTTTATCACCAATTTGTCTTAGCTTTATTTTAGTTCACTTTACACCAAAATACACAGTACATCGTGTACAATAATACACCAATAATATTACAATACTGATAAAATATTGTGTGATATTACAGTGGCCATCATGTTGAGTGTCATACTGTTAAATTTATGGGCCCTTATTATTTCATAATATCACCATAATTGAGGACCTTTAAAAATATTACCGGACTTATTGCTGATTTGTTTATCCTTTTGCAGGTTCAATTTCCGGACCTTCCGGTGGCTCCAGACGATGAGATTCGCCATCAATGAGATCAACAACAGGGAAGACATCTTGCCCAACACGGACCTGGGCTACGTGATCTACGACTCGTGCTTCACCATTTCCAAAGCCGTCGAGGGCACCCTCACCTACCTGACCGGCCAAGACGAGGCCGTGCCCAACTACCGCTGCAGCTCGGGGGCTCCCCTGGCCGCCCTCATTGGGGCGGGGGCGTCCGATCTCTCCATCGCCACGGCCAGGATTCTGGGACTTTATTACTTTCCCCAGGTAGGGCTCCTAATCCGGGGCAGCCTGAAGTGCCATAACTCCGGCAACGCCACACCCGACACGCCCTGTTTCCCGAGTGTGGACTTTTCACTGTGTACGGGAGGAGACACTTTATTGATGATCGGGTATTAACCGGGTTTTTGGATACAGAGACACTGACAGCCTTCTACATGTAATAACTGTCACGGAAGCCGAATCCGACTCCCCTGGAGCATGTTGTTAAAGACCCTACGCATGACGGTATAATCCGGAAGTCTCTGGAGAAGCACACCAGGGAAGACACAGCAAGGTTAGGTCAGGTCAAGTGAGTAGGTTGGGTCAAGTAGGTTAGGTCAAGTGAGATTCTGATTAATAATTGCATCTGAGGCTAGGTGCTGGATGATTAGACAGGGGGTGGTGAGGGTGGTGATCGGTGTACGGGGAAAGGCCGAGGCGATACATCACAAAAAGTCTAAAGGGGTAGTTAGAGTGCAGTCCGATGTCCAGTGCTGGGAGGTCCATCCGAGACGAAAACAATTAAAAACAGGAAACAGGGAACTAGGAACACCGAAGGTTAAAACCATGATGGACTCAGAGGCCAGGATGCCGTGATGAAGCCTGTGCCCTCGGGCTACTCCTGAGCCCGGTGATAGGCGGGCTTTCTAGCGTCCGTCTAGAAACAGGTGAAAATAGTCAACTAAAAACAAGACCGAAAAGGGTAGGAGTGCCCTCTAGAGGAGGGATGACGAACGTGACAGTAACAACCTAGAATATAACACATAGACATTAATTCCACGCTGCCAAGCAGGAAGAAGGAACACACGCTTGGGCTGTTGGGCCTTCTTTGGGCGTGGATTTCCTCAAGAAGGGCTCAACACCTCGGAACCGCGTTCTACTTTTCAGTGTGAAATTAACCTGTACTCGCTCCTGTGCAGCCAGCCAGCAGGAATGGCAAGACAAATGGATAAAAGTTTTGGCCACATGTTATTGGTTTTGGAAATAAAGCACAAACACAATGACAGATTGATAAATTCTAGCTGTAGAAAACGAGCAGTGATTTTCAGATCTAGCCTCCTGGAATGTCAAAAGCAGTATTTGATGGCAGATACCACACTGTAACAATTGTTATATACTTTGCTCTTTTTAGGTAAGTTATGCGTCCTCCTGCTCCGTTCTGGAAAGCAAGTTCCAGTTTCCGTCATTTCTCCGAACGATCCCAAACGACGTCCACCAATCCCAGGCCATGGCTCGGCTCGTCCTCCACTTCGGGTGGACCTGGGTGGCCACAATAGCTTCGGACGACGACTATGGAAAGTATGGAATCAAAGTGTTCAAAGAACAGGTGGAGGAGGCTGGGGTGTGCATCTCTTTCTCAGAGACACTTCCCAAAGTGTACTCTAGGGAGAGCGTGCTCCGCATCGTGGAAGCAATCAAGAAATCCACGGCCAACATCATTGTGGTGTTCTCCTCCGACGTCGACTTCAGCCCGCTGACAGAAGAACTGGTGGCCCACAACATCACCAACAAAACATGGATAGCCAGTGAAGCTTGGATAACTTCAGCTTTAATCAGTAAACCTGAGTATAACTCAGCCCTTGGTGGAACTATAGGCTTCGCTATCCGGAGAGCAGATATCCCAGGACTTAAATCATACCTCCTTAACCTTGACCCTTACGAGGACCGACTAACAGAGGAGTTCTGGGAGAAGGCCTTTAACTGCACCCTGGGTTACACACGCACCGTTAGGAGTCTGAACACATCCGCTCTGAGTTCCAATGATACAGACACGCGAATACACAACATGGATCCAGTGGCTGATCATTTTTGCACGGGGCTTGAGTCACTCGAGAGAATCAATAACACATATTCTGATGTTTCCGAACTCCGGCTGACATACAGCGTCTATAAGTCTGTGTACACAGTGGCTCACGCCCTGCACAACCTGGAGCACTGTGAGCCTGGAAAGGGCCCATTTCCCATGAACAGCTGTGCTGACATCAATAACTTTGAGCCCTGGCAGGTGAGCATAATGGGCCATGAAGTCTAGAACAGTCGTTAGGATATTTTCTTTCTAGTCTGGCCAATGTTATAAAACAAATATTAAGACAAGAGCAGCTGATGTAGAACAGGGGTTTGTGCACTTTTTAACATTTGCTGCAAAAATAACAATTACAGTGCCAGGAAGTGCAATGACATTTAAAGCAAATGACCAAAACCTAACAGTGGCAATTAAAATTGATTAAGATTTTAAATTGATTGCTACCAATTCTCTTTCATGCCATGTGAGAACTAAAAGGGTGTTTGCCTAATTTTAAAGTTATGGTTTTATTAATTAAATCAAGTATGTAACCATCTTCAAAGGCATCACAATGGAATTACGGGTACTTAACACGCACGTTACTATGGGAAATGTATTTATAGTTTTGGAGGAAAAGATTACTGTTACTTCTTATAATGTCTTACTATGTAACTGTTTTTTTTCAATTGCAGTTAATGTATTACCTGAAGAATTTAAGATTCACCACCCACACCAACGAAGACATTTTCTTTGATGACAATGGAGACGTGAAGGCTGAATATGACATTATCAACTGGCAGGAGAAACCAGATGGAAGTGTCTCTTATGTACAGATCGGACATTACAACAGCACCGCCCCCGCTGAGTCAAGAATGACCATCAACAACGACTCCATTGTCTGGAACAATAACATCTTACAGGTTGGGTGCAGTAGGGACAAAGGCTTCTTTTTGAAACTGTGGAGCACAGGTCAAAACTACCATTCTGAGCCATGCTAAACTGATATCAACAAACTTGACACAGTTGATATGCAAAGCCATACACAGCCCTGTCTGTTAGCCTGGCATTGTGGGTAATAGAGGGCCCTGATGCTGATGATGTTGCAGAAGGTTGCTTTTTATTAAACTAACAAAGGTAGATAGATCTCACATACTGTACACTTTGCACATGTATCATTCAAAGGTAATAGCTTATTTATTCAATATTTTCAAACTGTCATTTTCAGCCCACAAGCCTTTGCTCCTTTTTTGTGCCTCTCGACAGAGTAGTGAGCTCTGCTCACACCCACCTCCGGGTCTTTTCTATAAATAGGCCTAAAGTGTGTCACAGCAAAGTTTTTTTTCCCAGTAAGGTGTTACAGTCCTAGCTCAGAAAATACTATCTGTCTTGGTGCAGGCTCCGCGGTCTGTGTGCAGCGAGAGCTGTCTCCCTGGAACCAGGAAGGGCATCCGACAGGGGGAGCCAGTGTGCTGCTTTGATTGCATTCCCTGTGCTGACGGGGAGATCTCTAACGAGACAGGTATGGAGAACAACACTAGGCCATGAGCAGCTTTTAAAGATTCAGTTTGCAGTTCAGTTTTAGTTTATTGTCATGTGCACAAGTGCAATGAAATGCTTATTTGCATGTATGCTCCTATGCAAGACATTAAGGAAACACCAGAAACAAAAACAGAACAGCAGCAGCAACAACTTAAATAACATACATCTTAGAGAAAAAAAAGAACACATCAGTGTGATCCAGTGGTAGGGGTAGAGTTCAGTAATCTGACAGCTTGTGGGAACAAAATGTCTCTGAGTCTGGATGTTCGTGCCTTTCTGCTCCTCTAACATGTAAGCTTTTATTTAAAATGTCCCACTGAATATCAAAGCTTCCTTTTTTAAAAACAAAATCAACAATCATTGTTCCTCATTCTCCATTGTTTTCTGGAAAGCTGGGATACTCCTGCTGGTTAACCAGAGGCCTGTTCACCCAGCCAGTTGTAACTGGCCTCCTGAGGAATCGCAGTCACAAGCTCTGTGCAGGACCACACATGTCTGCAGCAGGCATGTGCTTGTTGAGTATTCAAGCATGCTTAGAAAAGAGACACCTGCAGCTGTGAGGTCAAAAACGTCAATTCTAACCCCATAGGCTTACATCACCTGTCAGTTCTTTGGTGTTTGAGATCATCCAAGGGACTTGTAGGCAATCCCTTTCGGGAAATGAAACACATGCTTTAAGAGTCATGGTTTTAATTCTTTTTTTTTTCTGGAAAGATGCGAGGGAATGCATTCAGTGTGGAGAAGACTACTGGTCCAATACGAAGAGGGATGCCTGTGTGCCCAAGGAGATTGAATTCCTGGACTTCAGTGAGGCCCTGGGAATAACGCTGATCAGCATTTCAGCCTTCGGGGCGTGCATTACGATTGCAGTGGCGATCATATTTTTAGTCCACAGGAACACTGCCCTCGTTAAAGCCAACGACCGCACACTGAGCTTCTTCCTGCTTCTCTCCCTCGTCATCACCTTCCTGAGCTCCATCGTGTTCATCGGGCGGCCCCAGCACTGGTCCTGCATGACCAGCCAGGTGGCGCTGGCGCTGGGCTTCGCGATGTGTCTTTCCTGCATCATGGGAAAGACCGTCGTTCTGATGCTGCGGGCCAGGGCTGCCAAAGCGAAGTCCCAGGAGCAGGCCAACGGGGACCCGATCAAGCCCATCCATCAGAAAAGCATCGCCTTGGTCTGTACTCTCATTCAGGTGTGCGCGTGCACAGTGTGGCTCATCCTGCTGCCTCCTTACCCTGTGAAAAACACAGCTTCGCAGAACATAAAGATCATTCTGGAATGCAACATCGGTTCCATTATATTTATATGTTGCATCTTTGCCTACGACATCCTGCTGGCTCTGCTGGGATTCATATGCGCTTTTATAGCTCGCAAGATGCCGGACAATTTTAACGAAGCAAAATTCGTGACCTTTGGCATGCTGGTTTTCTTCATTGTGTGGATCTCCTTCGTCCCGGCGTACTTAAGCACCAGGGGCAAATTCATGGTGGCAGTACAAATATTTGCGATTTTGGCATCCAGCTTTGGCTTGTTAGCGTGCATATTTATCCCTAAATGCTATATAATCTTGATAAAACCAGAAAGGAATACAGAGGAACTAGTCAGAGGCAAATCGCAAAAGAATGATACCAGCGCACCAGGAACATCAGTTTCTATTAGCAGTGAACTCAACAACACCACCATTTCAACTGTCTCAGTCGATGACTAAACTGCTTTTGCGGGCACATTGTTTCAATTCAAATGGGATAAAAGGTCAGATTTATTACATGGCATATGAGATTGCAGGATCTGAAAATGTAATTTTTAACTCCCCCTGTAGGATGAAAAAAAAACCCCAGTCCTCAATATGACAGTGCAATAACACATATGAAACAGCAATCATGAAGTTTCATAAACCATAGTGTTCTATCTTTTACCTAGTGTCCACAGGAAACTGATTATTTAATTCAGTAGATGAATCAAACATTTTAATGACCCTGCCATCTTCAAATTCCAAACATAATACTTTATGGGAATGTTTTGCTTTTTATCAATGGAGTTCTGGGTAGCGGTTTTTATATAATTCAGGGCTAAATGACATAATTCAAGCCCACTGTTTAAGCTACAATAGTGCCATTGTGTAATAGAAACAAACTAAACTAAGCTAAGCTTTGTCTGCATAAAAATCAATTAAAATAGTGACTTTGCAACTTACTATCTTTGTTGACTGAAGATTACATTTACCAACTGTACTTGTAATTATATTTTGTATACATAAATAACTTTAATGCATCTAATAATCTGTGCTCTATGTACTAGTTCACCAAATCCAAAAATATAAATAAAATATCACTATTTGCTCTACTTCTCACGTTTCATTCAAATCAGTTGGAGTTCAACTACACACACTTGATTTCACGTATTTTACGTTGTGTTCAAAATGTGTTATGCAAGATTGTAAAAACATTTTGCAAGAAATACAAAGTACATGCATACCTAAGTATCTATCTTGCCATTTTATCCAATACAGGATTGTGGCGGAGCTACTGCTTATCCTGGCACACAACGGGCACAAGGACACACAAAGACAGCAGTCCAGCGCAGGGCATATACAGAGACATACACAGACACACTCACACCAGGGACACTTTTTCCCGAATTAAGCCATCGGTAAGTTTTTGGACTATGAGACGAAACCTGAGTTCCTGGAGGAAACCTGTGTGAACACGTGGAGAACATACAAAGATAACACCCCAGGAACTGGCCCCAGGTCTCCAGTGCTGTGAGGCAGCAACGTTAACCACAAACATGATGTCATACATTAACATTTTGCATCTAATCATAGGTTATAAAAGACAAATAAAAAGACACTGTTTGTGAGGTAGTTTTATTAATTTACGTTTTATATTTTTTCTTGATTACATCTTGGTACACGGAAAGATTGAGGCTTTTTTTGTAAACTTAACATTATTTTATGAAAATGTGTATGGAAATCCTGCCTAATTATGTAGTAAAAAGCTTTTTCTTCAAGGTAAAATAAAACGTATTTTCATTCAATTTATAATAGATATCAGCATTGTTACAAGACAGAAAATTAAATCTCTCAAATGCATCACGCTATAGCTGAGAAAAAGGTTAATGTTCTTTGTCAAACGTCTTACAGTATCAGACAGTTTAAAGGGCTGTTGAAGTTTGCATTTGTTTGGAACTTAAGAGATCCCAAACAAATGCAATCAAACTTCAACAGCCCTGTATTTTTTGTCTGAAAAAAATATATAAGTAGGCTATACGGGGATCTTTGTCAAGACGTGAGACATAGAAGACTTCATGGTATTGCGAAAACTGAGCCACCGGACTCTCCCTCACGGACAATATTAACAACATCGCAGTTATCCGACTGGTAGCTGACCCAAGGCGTGATTGATATTGTTCTATTATTGGACTCTCAGTAAGCGCAGTCGAGCATGCCTGAGAAAGGTCTGTGTGTAAACAGCACGGGAACGAAGGCTCTGCACGGCTCTCACACATCAAGTAAGAGGACACAGCAGCAACGAGCAAACAGGTATGCCAGATGAGCACGCAATCTTAACAGCGTGGAGCAACAGCTGAAAACACACACACGCACACAACACCTGTGGGCATTTTGCGCATGCTCCGCCAAATACAAATCCCGCTTTCTCTTAAAACGTGCTCTCAGCTCACATACTGTAGGTGCTCCGGTCCGGAGGACAGAGAAAATAGCTTGGTTATGTGCTGGGGGCAAGGTGTCGTGCAGGTGTCGGGTTCCTCCTGAGAGGTCCAGCAAAGCCGAATGGCAACTTTGACGTGAGAATTGAAGTTGGCTTCGTGAGTCTCACCTCTTTTATAAATCGACAACACGGGGAACGAGGGAACTATTTAACTACGCAGTTCAACACGTAGCCCCCAGCATAAGAGTAGGCAGTAGCAAAATGGGGGAAAATAACGGGAAACGTGTTTGATCAAGCGTGGGGAATAAGACTGAGAAATGTCTTTACACGGGAAAACTAAGTAACTTGACTGACATAATTGTTCCCACCATTATCATCTTTGGAATAAAAAAAGCCCAATTCACAGCAGCATTATCTAAGAAAACTTATTAAGAAATGATTAATTATTTCTGCCTATTTTTACAATTAATAAAGCTGTTAGATTAATTCAAATAAATAACTGGGGGAGGGGAGAACGTTGACAAGATAAATCATTAAAACGGTCAAGTAAATGTTCATTCTTTATTGAAAATGATAAAAAACAAACGCGTTCCAGACGTTAAGCCTTCTTCAGGTGTGAGCAATAACACCTCAGCAGCTGAATTATAACTTTTGATCTCTCTGCTGTTCAGTGTGGAAATAAGCTTTCTTTGTTTCTTTGTCGCATGCTGGGGCAGTGGCTAGCACTGCTGCCTCGCTGCGCAGGGCCCTGAGTTCACTTCCTGGGGTGCTGTCTGTGTGCGCATATGGTTTCCTCTGGGTGCTCCGGTTTCCTCCCACAGTCCCAAGACATGCTGAAAGGTTAACTGGCTTCTGGGAAAATTGTCCCTGGTGTCTTTGTGTGCCCTGTGAAGGGTGCGTCCTGCTTTGTGTCCGTTATTGTGCCCATGACCTAACACTGGAAAGCAGTTAGATAGTACAGGGACATTCGCATCACGCACGCACTCCCCCAGCAATCATAATTGACAGCGGTCAATGAAATGGGTTTATTATTTTGCTGCATATTTAGTTCAAATCCCATTGATTAATTATAGATTTTTTGGATAAAATTTGTCTGTATAATAGAAGACTTTTAGAAAACGTCCAACACGTCTGTGTTTTGTCCTCCTGTGATGGACTGGTATCCCATCTAGTGTCCGCCATTTTGTCCACCAATGACAAACAATCTCATTCGTCATTGTTTGGGGTTATTGAGACTGTGTAACGGACTAAGCAGTTATTGGAAATAGCTGGATATATGATACAATTACTTTAAAATATTGCCTTTAAGTACACTGTGGTCGCTGTTTGCCGGTGCCCTTTTTTCGGATATCAACAGATGCCAGTATATTTGTGGCATTTCACCTTCTAGTGTTTATGAGACTGGCTCAGTGCTACTGATCCCTGTTGCATTCAGATCCAGTCTGTTGCAAAAAGTCACAAGGCCAAAAGGTCATCAAGCATAGATATCAATTGCACAAGTGCAGCATTAAACTCAACCAGTGTGACCACATCATGCTAGAAATACTGAGGAGTATAATGTCCACTTTTGGACATTTATAAATGAATAATAGGGTTAGCAAAAAAAACACAAATGATAAAACTGCAAACTTCAGTTGTAACTATCAGTGCTGGATGTTTATGTTAAGCTGTTTTTCATTCCTGCAGTAAATTTATGAAAGAATGCAATGTGGTGAAAAAGGTCTTGGCTGAGAGGCTGGGAGCCCCATACAGATTGAGGGGTTAACCAAGGGACAGCCGGGGAGGAGAAGGGGTGACTGAGGAGATTGGGAGATTGGGGGAGGAGGGATACTATGGGAATGTGAAGGAGGAAAGGCTCATAGCTGCTGCCAACTCTCCTGAACGTTCGCTGTAAACTCCATTGAACATGGCAAGGCAAACAGTCCTGTCTGGGAATGCCCCATAGAGCTGGTTCACAGAATGTACTTATGATGCTGGTGGCAAGTAATAATTACAGATGCTTCTAGTGTCACTGTCCTGTCAGCCACCACCACATAACACAGCTGAGGTGAAAACCATTTTGCTTTCTTTTTTATTGGAAAAAAAAACAATCATAAGAAAACTCTTTGAGTTTTGACAGTCAAGCAAAAACAGATCTGATAATAGGGCAGTTTTACATGTTAAAGATAATAGGATGTACAGTATTACAGTAAGCTGTTTTAACTAATGACTTAACTGAACCAGCACCGGAAAGAGCTGTAAGCATGGCAAACCTGGTGGAATTGCTTCCTTGAGGTATAAATGCTTCCTCACAGATTGTCTATCTAGAATTGTACTACTTAAAGTGCCAATGTTTGTGTCCTCAACTGCTCAACAGCTGCAGTGGACTGATTTTTGTGTTTTATTGTTTTTGTTGTATTGTTTGCTATATATTAGCCTTAATCGCTTCTTGCAGGTTAGGTAAGCATAATTTCTAACCACTAGGCTGTCTTAGTGGAACTTGTGGCAGTGTGGTGGCTCTGTGGCTAAGGATCTGTGCCTGTGGTTGGAAGGTTGCAGGTTCAAATCCCACGGCCAGCAGAGGAATCCTACTTAGCCCCAACTGCACCAGGGGTGCTGTACAATGGCTGACCCTCCACTCTGACCCCAAGCTTCTCTCTCCCTGTCTGTCTGTCTCATGGAGAGCAAGCTGGGGTCTGCAAAAAAGACAAATTCCTAATGCGAGAAATCGTATAGGGCTAATAAAGTGATCTTAATCTTAATCTTGTAGTCCTTCCACCTCGTACTAACAGACTGTGACCTTTTGACCTTTTCAAGATTCATTTGATTTGAGTTTGATTAACTCAGCTAGTGGAGGAGATAATACAAACTCCACTTGGTGCAGCTCAGTCTGTTTTGCTCAAGAATTCTGATGGTCTTTTCAAAGACACTCCAACACAGTTTATTAATAGTCCATCTCCTATGAAATTTTATTTCATTTTGCTCATTGTTATTCCTGGTTCCCAGATGATGTGCACACTCTATGAAGGCAGCAGAGTGACATTTTAAGCAGCTGGAGACG